TGATAGAGGGCCATGAGACTTAGACCTGAGTGCAAAAATGGAGGCTCTAGCCCCTTTCCAGAAAAAAAAAACGAAAGGGTACCACTGTCGTTTTTTTTTTTTTGGGCGAAAAATTAAGTTTCTCTGATCCTCTTGAAACTCTGGATTCTGATAGAGGGCCATGAGACTTAGACCTGAGTGCAAAAATGGAGGCTCTAGCCCCTTCCAGAGCTGAGATATCGAAACTCAAAATTTCGACCCGAAAAAAAAAACGAAAGGGGTACCACTGTCGTTTTTTTTTCGGGGTCGAAATTTTTACTTTCTCTGATCTTCTTGAAACTCTGGATTATGATAGAGGGCCCTGAGAATCAGACCTGAGTGCAAAAATGGAGGCTCTAGACCCTTCCAGAGCTGAGATATTGAGATCCCACGTAGCATTTATGCCATTATACTGTTTAAAGTCTAAAGGAGTTAGACAGTATAGTATAGTTGTGATTTTGCTGTAAACACATGTTTTATTATTTATAGCTAACAGGGAAGCTCCAGTAACCGTAAAGTTACGTTTCCAAAGTGGATTTATATAACCATATATCTGAAATACGCTTGTTTAAAATGTCTATTTACATCAGGAAGGAAAATATTGTATAAGTATTGCAGGTGAGCACATCCCAACATGAAAAATACATGTGTGTGCTATTATGTAGGATAAGTCACTGTTGTCAACACTGCTTACATTAGACAAATATGTGCTGTAAGTAAACACATCTATAAAGTAACTAAACATGATATATATTTATTTGTCCCTTATTGGTGTTGATATATTGAGGAACATTTATGGATTAAAAGTGAGTTAACACATCAACCTCAGCAAGTAAATGCAGTGTTGAGCTCGTAATGAGAATCTTGTCTGTATTTTACAGGGACAGAAGAACACGTGTGTGTTTATCCGGTGGAGAGAGGCTCATGATGCTGAATGTTGTCATCAATGGCTCTGAGTGAGTAAGCTACAGAAATGGATAACAAGTTGTAGTTTATTTGCATGATTGTAATTTCAAACTGAGAAATTACAACAACACCTTTCTGAGTCTTGATTTCTGCATTTGCTGCAGAGCTTTTGTGGTGGAGCAGGACCTGCAAGGCAAGATGATGGCAGCATTCGCTGGGGGAAAAAAAGGTTTCAGGGATTTTACTCAAATATAAAGTAAGGCTATTTTTAATACATAAATCAAATGACATTGTGCTGTTAAAATGAATGCTTTTGTGTAATGTTTGTGAGCATTTTTGTAGGATCTGAAAAGTCTGCAGACTGGTGTGAGCCCTGAGGAGCCCAGAGCTGAATCCTGGAAGTGGTGCCATGGATGAGTCCCTCCATCACTCCACCTGCCCTTATTGCCTCAGATTGTGAAGCGCAGCGCAGCAACAAGCTCCGGCATGCAGGCACAGTCCCCTCTGGTGAATCCATAAGAATTAAGCCGCAGAATGGGAACCGCTGTGTTGAGTCGGCAGTAGGATGTGGTGTTCAGCGGCTTGTAGTTTGAATAAAGCTTTGTTTCATGTGTTGTTGACTTGTATATGCATTTGTTTATTGTGATGGTTACTTTTTTTGTTCTTTTACTCATTTATTCATGTTTCTTATTGTTGTCAGTATATGAAATCATAAAAATGGAGGCTCTAGACCCTTCCAGAACTGAGATATCGCAACTCAAAATTTCGACCCGAAAAAAAAACGAAAGGGGTACCACTGTCGTTCTTTTTTTCGGGTCAAAATTTTGAGTTTCTCTGATCCTCTTAAAAACTCTGGATTCTGATAGAGGGCCATGAGACTTAGACCTGAGTGCAAAAATGGAGGCTCTGGACCCTTCCAGAGCTGATATATCGAAACTCAAAATTTCGACCCGAAAAAAAAAAAACGAAAGGGGTACCACTGTCGTTTTTTCTTTCGGGTCAAAATTTTGAGTTTCTCTGATCCTCTTGAAACTCTGGATTCTGATAGAGGGCCACGAGACTTAGACCTGAGTGCAAAAATGGAGGCTCTAGACCGTTCCAGAGCTGAGATATCGAAAATCAAAATTTCGACCCAAAAAAAAAAACCGAAAGGGGTACCACTGTCGTTTTTTTTTCGGGTCAAAATTTTGACTTTCTCTGATCTTCTTGAAACTCTGGATTATGATAGAGGGCCCTGAGAATTAGACCTGAGTGCAAAAATGGAGGCTCTAGACCGTTCCAGAGATGAGATATCGAAACTCAAAATTTCGACCCGAAAAAAAAAAACGAAAGGGGTACCACTGTCGTTTTTTTTTTCGGGTCAAAATTTTTAGTTTCTCTGATCCTCTTGAAACTCTGGATTCTGATAGAGGGCCATGGGACTTAGACCGGAGTGCAAAAATGCAGGCTCTGGACCCTTCCAGAGCTGAGATATCGAAAATTAAAATTTCGACCCGAAAAAAAAAAAGAAAGGGGTACCACTGTCGTTTTTTTTTCGGGTCAAAATTTTGAGTTTCTCAGATCCTCTTAAAAACTCTGGATTCTAATAGAGGGCAATGAGACTTAGACCTGAGTGCAAAAATGGAGGCTCTAGACCCATCCAGAACTGAGATATCGAAACTCAAAATTTCAACCCGAAAAAAAAACGAAAGGGGTACCACTGTCGTTTTTTTTTCGGGTCAAAATTTTGAGTTTCTCTGATCTTCTTGAAACTCTGGATTATGATAGAGGGCCCTGAGAATTAGACCTGAGTGCAAAAATGGAGGCTCTAGACCGTTCCAGAGCTGAAATATCGAAACTCAAAATTTCGACCCGAAAAAAAAAACGAAAGGGGTACCACTGTCGTTTTTTTTTTCGGGTCAAAATTTTGAGTTTCTCTGATCCTCTTGAAACTCTGGATTCTGATAGAGGGCCATGAGACTTAGACCTGAGTGCAAAAATGGAGGCTCTGGACCCTTCCAGAGCTGAGATATCGAAAATCAAAATTTCGACCCGAAAAAAAAAAAAAGAAAGGGGTACCACTGTCGTTTTTTTTTTCGGGTCAAAATTTTGAGTTTCTCAGATCCTCTTAAAAACTCTGGATTCTGATAGAGGGCAATGAGACTTAGACCTGAGTGCATAAATGGAGGCTCTGGACCCTTCCAGAGCTGAGATATCGAAACTCAAAATTTCGACCCGAAAAAAAACGAAAGGGGTACCACTGTCGTTTTTGTTTTGTTTTTCGGTGTGAAAAAATAAGTTTCTCCAATCTTCTCAAAACTCTAGATTCAGATAGAGGGCCATGGGACTTAGACCAGAGTGCAAAAATGGAGTGTCTAGACCCGTCCAGAGCCGAGATATTGAGATCCCACGTAGCATTTATGCCATTATAAATATCTCAATATCAATATCTCAATAGCTCAGGAAGGGTCTAGACTAGAGCCTCCATTTTTGCACTCAGGTCTAAGTCTCATGGCTCTCTATCAGAATCCAGAGTTTCAAGAAGATCAGAGAAACTTATTTTCTCGCACCGAAACAGTCGACAGTACCAATGTCGTTTTTTTGGGTCAAAATTTTGAGTTTCTCTGTGAGAAACTATGAAATACTTGCAAAATGATATACAAAATGTAAATACACCTTAGAAAACGTTGCTTGCTTCTCTGTTTGGAGTGAAGTGCTGCCATGCTTCTCTTCAATGTAGAGTTTTTTTTATATAATTACTACATGCAGAGCTTTTACTGGCATTTGATTGGATGACAAACGTCCAATCTCATGGACTGCAGGCTTTAAACTAGGTGAAATGCTCCAGAAGTTAAAAAAAAGGGGGCTGACATGTGATGTCCATTGTAATGGACACAGGGTCTGAATGGGTTAATGCAGAACTTAGATTCATCTTACCTTAATGTACGTCAACGACCCTTCTGAATATAACGATGAGTGAACTTAGGTGGTAGCGCATCATAAGGTACATGGACATATTTACAGGAGCAGATAGTCCTTCTTCTCTCTTCTCTTTCTTGTAATCTTCGGGACACCTGTGACATAAACCATTGTTCAGGCACTATGGGGGTCTTGTTTGTCCCGGGATGAAAGGAGGCCGCTGTGGCCTCTGTACAGAAACCGTGCCAACACGTGTCTAGTCTAGAGACTTAAAGGAGTAGTTCACTTAAAAAAACTTTTGCTAATAATTTTTACTCACCCCCATGTCATCCAAGATGTCCATGTCTTTCTTTCTTCAGTCGAAAAGAAATTCCAGGATTTTCTCCATATAATGGACTTCAATGGGAACCAAACGGTTCAAGGTCCAAATGAGAGTTTCAGTGCAAACCCTTCGAGTCATGACTCGAAAAAAGATTTGTTCATATTGATGAATGAGTTTGAACAGGAGAGTCACGAACGTGCATCACATAAAAGAGCAAGGCGAGCATTTGTGCTTATAAAACTTAAACTTTGTTATTTATTTTTTAAATGACCGATCGTTTCGCTTGATAAGACCATTATTCATCGTCTGGTGTCGCATAAGGGTACATATAATAATAACTATAAAAAGAAGATTTGTCAAATTTGATTTCATGCCGACTTTAAGCCGTACAATTGATTTGCGGGAAAGACTGAAATCCAAGTTATTTTTACCGACATCGGACATCACGTAAAAATAAAATAAAACAGGCTTTAGATGTTATATAGGGCACAAAATGTACAAACTGCTTTTATCTTACTTTTTAGGAGCTTAAAATGTGTTACAAAGTCATTCTGAAAACACTGGTTCCCAACAGCATAATTTCTAATTTTTTTTAGTGTATTTAATAGACCAATTCCACCTGAGGGGGCTACATATTTTTTTCTAAAAACAATCCACAAAAAATATTTCCAAAAGTTGACGGTTGGTGTGACGTCTCAGCCTAGGCTGTGTGTATGTTTTTAGGTGCCGTTTTTTTTTTTTTTTTAAAAAAGGTTTTTAAGTTGTTTGTTAGTGGAAATGTAAAATATGACCACGAAGCCTTGGTAGACACAAAAATAAAAAACGTATTTACATAAATAACGACAGAAACACCTGCTGCAGTAGATGGAGAATAGTGTTTTATTTGCTTTGAAACTTGGTGTGCTTCTACAAAAAGTCAGAAGCCAAACTTTGGAAAGGCAGTAACAAGTCATAAGAGAATGAAGAGACATTTCTGGAAAACTGATAAAGATCCCAATCTCATCAGGTTTGTGAGTTCTTGCCCTCGCTTTTCACGAACCAAGGAGCCCACATGCTGTGAAATCACAGGGTAAGAGCAGGAAAACACTGTTAATGTGGTCATATACTGTGATGTTGTGTTGTCTCGGCAGACAGGTTGCAGTGTTTTTGCAGCAGGATTAAACGAGCATCTGACCTCCTTGTAGGGTGTGAGTGTGTTCCTGTTTCGATGCAAGCTGACTTTACTGCCAAAGGAAAGGAGGAGGAGGAGGAGAACAAGAGTACGGAGACCACCTTTCAAAAATCTGAACCAGACGCCGCTTAAATAAATGTTATAGAAGATCTGAACAGAAAATACCGTAATCATTACAAGTCTATATAAATACATCACTTTTACGAAAGGCAAAAATTAAATTAGAATCGGATCAAAAACGTTTGTACACGGTAATTACAGTTTGGTTCACTGCAATAGAAGTTTAAAGGGACAGTTCATCCAGAAATGAAATCTTGGTCATTATCATTTACACATCCTCGTGTGCGGTCCCACATTTTGTCCATGCAACACCAAAAGAAAAATCTGTAGAACAATCACGCGTCTCATTTCCATATACAATCAAACAATGCTTCAAAATTTCTCCCTGTGATTAAATAATGACAAAATTCTCCTTTTTGGGTGAGCTAAACCTTTAACAACCTCACTAAAATATGTATCATCTCCTTAAGTTGGACCCTCTCAATGAACACCACTACTAACCAGTTCAGGAACCAAAATAAAGTCTATTAAGACTGAGCAGAATCTCAAACAAAGGTGTGTACTGTCATCCACTGACCCTAAATCAGATGTGAACTAGTGCTGATGCTACTCCTGTTCAACCTCTGAATCAGAGTCCTGAGGTACATCCCTTCAATCTGAACAACACACATCAGGAATGAGTGTTTGTCTTATGCTTAAATGCAAACACCATCATCACAAAGCAACATAAACCGTCGAGGTTGTTTTCTGTTTTCTAAGCTGGCTGCTGAACTCTCGGCCGACGTCGGTGAGGAAACACAGCGGGATCGGCTAACACACCGTCAGAAAACCAGAGAGAGCGGAGGGGGCGAGTGAAGATGTGAACGTGTATTAGAGACAAGCGGAGGACGAGGGTGTGTTTGATCCGTGGAAATCATTCAAGTCACTTCTTGGGGGGGCTGTAGGGCTCCAGCAGCTGCTTGGAGAAAGTGTTGACCTTGTCCGCTCCCCGAACCTCGTGAGGCAGCAGAGGCAACTTTATTATGTGGAAATCTTCATATAAATCCTCCATCTGAGAGAGAGAGGAAAGAACATGAAAAGAGAGAGGGGAGGAAAGAGGAAAAGGATGAAGACAAAGAACCAAAAAAGGAGATGTAAAGAAAAAGAGGAAAAGACAAGGAGAGAAAAAAAGGTTTTATGGAAAAAGAAGAGGAAAGAAAAAAGGAAAGGGAAATTGTGAAGAAAAAGGAAAAGTAATGTGCGAAAATGAGAAGAAGAAAAGTATAAGAAGAAAATAGATGGAAGGGGAAAATAGAGAGCAAGGAAAAGTAAAAGAGTGGCAATAGAGGAAAGATTAAGTAGTAAGGATAAGGAAAAGGAAAGGGGGAAGTAGAAGAGGAGGAAAAATTGGGAAGGAGAAGAAAATGAGAAAAGGAAAAGCATAAAGGAAACAGGAAGAAACCAAAGGCGGAAGGGGAAAATAGAGAGAAGGGAAAAACATAAACAGATAAAGAATAAGGAAGAGGAAAAGAGAGAGGGGAGGAAAACACAAAGAGAGGAAAAGGATGAAGACAAACAACCACAAAAGGAGATGTAAAGAAAAAGGAAAAGACAAGAAGAGAAAAGAAAAGAAAAAGAGATACAACATTAAGTATTACGGAAAAAGAAGAGGAAAGAAAAAAGGAAAGGGAAATGTAGAAGGGGGAAATTGGGAAGGAAAAGGAAAAGTCATGTGCGAAAATGAGAAGATGAAAAGTATAAGAAGAAAATAGATGGAAGGGCAAATAGAGAGCAAGGAAAAGTAAAAGAGTGGAGATAGAGGAAAGATTAAGTAGTAAGGAAAAGGAAAGGGGGAAAGTAGAAGGAGGAAAAATTGGGAAGGAGAAGAAAATGAGAAAAGGAAAAGCATAAAGGAAACAGGAAGAAACCAAAGGCGGAAGGGGAAAATAGAGAGAAGAGAAAAACATAAACAGATAAAGAATAAGGAAGAGGAAGGAAAATGAAAAAAAAGAAATGGAAAAAGAAAAGAGAAGTACAGACGGTAAAAGGGAAGAAAAAAGAAAGGAAAAAAGGAAGACGACGAGAACAGGAAGAGTAAGGTCAGGTATGAAAATGTAAAAAAGGGAAAGGAAGAAAATGAAGACGAAGCGGAAAACAATAAAGAAAAAGGAGGGGAAGGAAACAACAAATGGAAAAAGAAAAGAAAGTTAAGAGAACAAGAGAAGAAAAAGTGGAAAGGGAAATACAAAGGAAAGGAAAAATCAGGAGAAAGTAAAGAAAGGAAAATCATCAAGTCTATAGAAATAATACATCACGTTAACTGCACGTATTAAACGAGTTAAACTGGCAACACCACAATAAGGTTTCATATGTTAACATTAATAATGCATGAACTAACAGTGAGCCATTCATTAATCTTCGCTAATGTCTAACTAATGTTCACAGATCATGAATGTTGTTCAGTAGCTCATGTAATGCGTTTCAAATAAACTGTCCCACCTGGTCCAGATACTTGGACTGGATCTTGTGTCGGGCTTCACACATCTTGCAGGGTCTCTCGCTGTCGGGGAACACCAGCTGGTTGACGATAATGTTGTGCGTGTCGATGCGACACTTGGCCAGCTCCTGGATCAGACGCTCCGTCTCGTACAGAGACAGGAACTCGGCGATACACACGCAGATAAACGTCGTCTGCTCCTGTGGGCGTCATGACAGGAATCAACATTACATGCAGGCCTTTTGGGTTGTTTTTCCAGCAGGCACTCGCCCGGGACACTCACCGGGTCCTTGAACTGCTCGCTGACTGAGCGGATCACGGGCAGCGTCTCCTCCAGTTTAGACGCCAGCTGATCTGCATTCATGTCTCCCAGGCCCAACATGTTACACATCTGCAACGGTGAGACACAACTACACTTAAACCCTATTTCAACCTTTCCTTACAACACTTTCCAATGCTGTTTTACATATATTCCATTTCCCAGAATGCAGTGCTGTACCTGTGAGATGAAGGGGCTGATCTGGTTCTTGATCTGCATGAGGCGACCCAGTCCTCGCTCCACAATGGTGGGGAAGTTGAGCAGACGCAGAGTGTGTCCCGTCGGGGCCGTGTCAAACACCACCACTGAGAAATTCATGCCTTTCACTAACCTACAGAAGAAGAAGAAAATTAAATATTTATCTTGTTTTATTTATCATTATCTATTAATACAATTTTAGATAATATATAAATATATCTATATTTTAAAAAAATATATTTACATTAAATATATATATATATAAATAAAAATATTCTATTATTAATAATGATTTATCTTATTTTATTTATCTTTCTCTATTAATATAAAATTAATTGATAAAAGACAATAGTCAATTTATAAAATTTTAGAAGACAGATAAATAAATAGATGTATTAACAAGTTATTTTATATATATATATTATTTTTATAAATATTAATAAAATATTAAATAATAACATTTTATTTTTAATAATGATTCCTTATTTTATTTATATTTATCTATTAACAATACAATTTTAGATGCTAAATAAAATATTAATAATTTATTTTATTAGTGTAGAATTAAAATAAAAGCATTTTAAATATACAGGATCTACTGAATGTGTTGTGTGAATAGTGTACGCCATCTAGATGTGAATCAATAGCACTGCATAAAAAGGCCTGAATTAAGAGTTTTCTATTGTAGGACTGCTTGTTTATTGGATTATGTAATTCACAGTACTTCCTTCCCTCATGAAAGACAATAAGAGCACACTTTCACCTTTACCTGATTTTCAAACATTTGAATTTGATTCATTTTGGAGTTTGTTTTTCATTCATGACTTTCAATGCTCTATTGAAGAACTGTTTGAAATGCAGATGGAGAAAATAAAAGCTAAATCGCATCCGGTCTAAACCTCATGGCGCTTCTGAATACATTTTGAGATCATTACAGTGGAATAAGTGCCGCTCATCTGACCTCATGACCTCTGCGTAGCTCATGGCCTCGTCGATGCCGGGGAAAGCACTCATGGCTTCCTGCATCATCTTCTTCCCCATACTGAGCATGTTGTCCTCCTCGAAGAACTCATCGGGCAGCTCTGCCACACCCAGACTGGGGTCGATCTCCTACAGAGACAAAACACAGTCTCATCTCGTGCATTTCATCATCTAAATGCACTTATATTCAAGTCATTTTAAACACAGGCTAACTAAATATCAAACAACATTGGCCATTAAACAGATAACCAGATAATAATACATGGTTTCTGTCAAATTCCATTGAAAATATTTTAATTTGTGTTCCAAAGATGAGCGAAAGTCTTATGGGTTTGTAACGACATGGGATTGTAACCCCACCTTAATTTTTGGGTGAACTATCCCTTTATAAAGTTGTGTATATGAGTTGTGTATAAAGCCGTTGTTTGACGTGTACACAGTACACGTGAAAACAGTGTGTCGTTGATAACGCACCATGGCAAAGAGGTTGTCGTAGCCCTTGACTTTGGTGGGAACCTTGGAGAACTTCTGGTCGAAGGCATCTGAGATGTTGTGTGCTGGATCTGTGGATATGATGAGGACGCTCTCTCTCACTGCCGCCAACTGAACCGCCAGACTGCAGCTGTGACACAAGACAAAAACAACACTTATTCTAAATAACTTTAATTCACAAAAAGAGAAAAAAATCATTGACATTGCATTATTATCGAGGCAACCTTTCAATATTGGCTTGACAAGCCTTGGCTGTATTTTTTCAGCTAAGTATGCTTTCTTTATCCGCCAACAAAAAAACGACCTTAATTATTTATGGTCAATTATAAAAATCTAGCAAATAAGAAAAGTTTGTGAATCATGCCATTTATAAACACCTGTTGCTGTGAAATAGCATATCATATTATGATTAAAGTGGCTCTATAGGTGGCAGAGGTTTTCAGAGCGAAATGTAAATATGAGTTTAGATGGTTAATACCACCCACTTTCATTCATCTACTTGTCTATCTGTAATATTTGAATAAATTATAATGAATTGAATTATTATGAATAAGAATAATTATTCACGAGGAAAGAGATTTTAAAAAACTACTCACACGTGACGTGTTTTTCTAAAATTTCTGAAATTACTATTTCGACGTAGGTTGGGTTGCAGGTAGATTATAATTAGAGATGTGCTTGTTTATAGTTTCAGAGTGTTTTAACCTTTATTTTAATACAGTAAAACAGCAAATATGTATGACTAATCTTCTGTGGTGTGTTGCAGCTAAAGCAGCACTGACAGCTAACAGCCTCTTCCCAGCAAAACCCTATCGTATATTCACCCACCTGCATGTTGTCTTGCCCACGCCACCTTTACCCCCGACAAAGATCCATTTGAGTGATTTCTGCTCTATAATATTCTTCAATGTCGGCTCTAAAGGCTCTACATCAGGCGCATCTTCAAACTCGTCTTCCACTGAAGCTGCCATCTTGCTCTCAAGTCAGTTGGAATCATACACCAAAGCGGCAGCGGCACACTCCGCCATTTTGGCTCCGCAACGGCAGACGCAACGCACTTTAACGGACGGGCATTAGATCCAAAATGGCCAGGAAACGGTGAACAGTTACCAACGGAAGTGTGTTGATTACTCTGATGACTCAGCCGGACTGGACCAACTACTTTCCTTGAACAAGAATATTCTAGAAGTGTTCATTAAGATTTATTTATTTTTTAAATGAAATGTAAATACACGTCTAATAGTAATATCACATTTTGGGCGAGTAGTAGCTTGAAACGTTTAATATTTCTCTCATGTTCATTTGCGAATGGAAGACAGAAACACACAAAACTTTGAAGAATTTGGCAACCTTTATTGTGTTATAATCCTATTCTTGTGCCATTATTGCACATGAACAAAACATATCTTTTAATAGCATGTCTGTTATCTTTTGTTGGCAAATGTACATTTACATGGCACCAAGCAACTCTTTTTTAAAAATTAAATTCATTTTATTGTGAAACAAAATATAATGTTGTGATGATTGTACTTCACATATTTATTACATCTGTTTTTACATTTGTATTGTGCTAGAGCTACGTTTCAATTCTGAATCTGACAACAGGGAATAAAATTAAGTACGGTATTCATCCAATATATCTAAGAGCACAGAGCAGTATACGTCGATTTCAAGATTTTCAGATGCTGTTTTTGGAATTCAATCACATTTTAAGTCACAATGATTCAGTACAAAGATACAAAGGGAGGCTTGAGCAGAATGGGATGTTTTGTGAATGTAGTCTGAGGCCAAACATGGGGGTTTTTAACACTGTTCAGTCTGTTTAACATGATTAAGCCAGCACCATAACAGGGCAAACTAAACAACAAAGATGAAAATCTAACTTTATGCACAAGCAGTTCAAACTGTGACAGGTATAAGGTCATATATTCAGCTAACATACAGAAAAGAAATTTTGAACAGTATCAAAACTGACTCAAACATGTACTATTTTTTTAATTTCAGAAAAAAAAAGGTTTTCGAGTTGCAACGAATCAGGAAAACAACAAGAAACAACTTTAAAGCCTTTCAGGCAGCAACATTTGAAAGGTGCACAAAGTTTAGGGATTGTATCATTATTATTCTCGTAAAAAATAAAGAAAGGAAAATGACTAAATACAGTCCCCACAGTTCTATCCAAACAGACAAGGCGAGGTCAAGGCAAAGCTAAATGGGGACACACAGGATCCAACATGTAACCAAAAAAAACAAGCATTTAGAGTAAAGATGATCCAAAAACCAGTGTAAAAAGGCAACTTACATCCCAGAACCTGGAAAACAGCAGCTGACAAGGCAAAACTCAGAGTCTACCAATACACAACTTAATCACCGACCTCGTTATGAACACAAAACGATGCATCACGACACACAGGTCATTTATTACGCTATTTGAGTGCATCTATCCATAGTGATCAGGGACAGAGAATAGAAAAATCTGTAAACTACCTCCTCAGACACCTGTTAGTGCATCACGAGCTTGCAAGTAATGACAAAAACATTATCATGGCACACGTTCTCTTGTAAATCAAGTTTTTTCAGCATTCTAATTTCAGAGCCAGCAGAAATCAAACTCCGCCCACCGGACCTGTCAAATTCACAAAGGGACAATCTCATTGGCGGAATGGGCTGGTTTCAAATCCAATCAGAGGGACGCGATTGCACATTTAATGAATTCGATTAGAAGGAAAAAAAGAATAAAGTACACAATTGATTCATTCGAACCCTAAACGGCTCTTTAAATCGACTGTGTGTTTTTCATTTTGCGAAACTTGCACACATGTATACGTGTCCGAAAAGCGCTTTGACATGCAAGTGACAGGCCTCTTAAATGGAACACTGGATCCTGTTTTTACAGTCTGTCCACACACACAGTCACGCCACCTTCATTTGTTCATTCTACTGTCCCCAGCGTGTTCATTGCATTATCATTGGCATGTCCCTCGGTATGCGCAGGCACTCTCAGTTGGTCTCGTAGGAAGACAGCAGTGCAGCGTCGACCGGCTCCATACAGGAAGGGCAGGTGAAGGAGCGCATGAGCCAGGCGTCAATGCAGTCCACGTGATAGATGTGCATGCAGGGCAGGAACCGGATCGGGTCGCCGTACTCAAAGTCCATCATGCAGATCACACACCTGGGGGCAGATGTCATGAAGTAACATTTTTACTTCATACATACTAAAAACTGTTTCCACACATATTAGAGTGTTCCCTGGGTCAACTCATTAAAAGTAACTTAACTCGTAAAGTAGCGCATTACCTTTATAATTCAGTACAATGTAATGATTGACAGCTCTCTCGTCCCCACGTTGAGACAAATGGAAGTGCAGAGGCGTTGTGTGTAAACATGATGGCTATTGTAGTTCTAGACTAAATGTGAGCGTGCATTTACTCAACCCACTTGCAAAAAAAAAAAGATTCAATAATCCTCAGTGAAATGCAGAATCAGGTTACTATGCAAACCTCCAATAACTAAAAATATTTTTTATGCATTTAATCTCACTTTATTGACCAGTGTACTTGCTAAACCATAATCAAAAATGACTATGTATTTCTTTGTTTTTATGTCTAAAGTAAGTGTTAAACTTTTTTCTCCTGCATCCCTTTCTTCCCTCATCCAGAACAGCAGCTGAAAGCTTTGTTTGAGTGGCGCCCTCTGCTGTACATATGGGAATTTGCATTTCCTTAGGTGCCCACATTTGACCAAAAATACAAATTCTTGTTATAAACAAAAAAAAAAACAAGCCCAGACCAGGAGAAAAATAGTAACGCAAAAGTAAGGTAACGCATTACTTTTCTAAACACGTAACTAAGCAACTCAAAGAGTTCCTTTTTAAGGGATTCACGCAGTATTGTAATGCATTACATCTCAAAGTAACGCCTGGATACCACGTACTCTTTGATCTTCTTGTCGGAGGGTTCAGAGCCCGGGTCGAAGATCCCACGGGGCAGGTGTTGGATGAGGCCGATGCGCTGAGCGATACGGACCTGCTCCTCCTCCGTCAGCTGAGTGGCCAGGCGTGTCTGACTGGGCGTGGGATGGTACACTGGCACCTGCACCTGCTCCTGGGGGTCACGAGCGTTTGATCACAGCGTTAATAAAGCCGAGCGCACAGGACGGCTTATTAGAAACAGGAGGAATGGATCATTGCAAACACTAGAGAAAGTTTGGTCCTAGAGAGCCATTGTCCTGTAGAGTTTATTTCCAACCCTAATCTAACTCACATTGTCTTCAGGATTGCTAAGGCTACAGGCAGCCAGGAGAGGGTTTTTCAAGACAGTGGCTCTCCAGGACCGAACTTGCCTGCCTCTGCTCTAGAGTGTAACAAAATTAAGGAAATGGCATAAACATATTCATCGATATTAGTCTGTGAATGCAACCATAAGTAGATGTCTTCATACTATATGTGATGAAAAATATAATAATATATTTTTTTATTGCCATTTCTTTCTCATTTTAGTTTATTTTTATATGGGCAAGTTTTAACTTAGAAGCATGTGACATTTTTACTTTATTAAAAAATTAATTAAACATTCACCTTTTAATACCTTATATGTACAGGGTCAATCTATTTACTGATTTAATATAAACTCAAGCATGTTCACTCAAAGTGCGAGAACCAATGAGGTTCATTCTAGTGCTCTAGCTAACTAATTTACTCATAGTAAAAAAAAAACTACAGAGTAAATTAGTCATGTAAGTGTCATAACAATTATGTGGTGTGGCAAGTTTTGTAGGTTTAATAAAATGATAATAGATGTGTTGCACTTAAAGGAGTAGTTCACTTGTAAAAAAACTTTTACTGATAATTTACTCACCCCCATGTCATCCAAGATGTCCACGTCTTTCTTTCTTCAGTCGAAAAGAAATGAAGGTTTTTGATGAAAACATTCCAGGATTTTTCTCCATATAATGGACTTCATTGGGAACCAAACGGTTCAAAGGTCCAAATGAGAGTTTCTGTGCAAACTGTTCAAAGGGCTTTAAACGATTCCAGACGATGAATAAGGGTCTTATCAAGCGAAACGATCGCTCATTTAATAAATAAATAACAAAGTTGAAGTTTTATAGACCATTTTGCAAGATGTAAACAACACTGGTCCAGAAACACTTTCTGTTTCAGTTTGTAACTGTTTTTTGTAACATCTGTAAAGATGTTTGTTTAACTTTTTGATTCAGTTCTACATGTTCTGTTGGTTGTATTTTATCCCAGCTTAAAAAACTGAAACAGGAAGTGCTTCTGGACCAGTGTTGTTTACATCTTGTGAAATGGTCTATAAGCTCAAATGCTTGCCTTGCTCTGTTCTGTACTCTCCTGTTCAAACTCAAAATCGAAAATCAAAATCTCAAAATGAACAAATCAATTTGAACGAGTCAATTTGTTCGTTGAATGAACCAAATGACACGAAAAAAGATTTGTACATTTTGATGAACGAGTTCGAACAGGAGAGTCACGAACACGCATCACAGAACAGAGCAAGGCGAGCATTTGAGCTTATAAAACTTAAACTTTTTTATTTTAATTTTTTTAATGAGCGATCGTTTTGCTTGATAAGACCCTTATTCATCGTCTGGAATCATTTAAAGCCCTTTGAACAGTTTGCGGTTTGCACTGAAACTGTCTTTTGGACCTTGAACCGTTTGGTTCCCATTGAAGTCCATTATATGGAGAAAAATCCTGGAAAGTTTTCATCAAAAACCTTAATTTCTTTTCGACTGAAGAAAGAAAGACATTGACATCTTGGATGACATGGGGGTGAGTAAATTATTACGTTTTTCAGTATAATATTCTGGCAAAGCTCAGACACTTTATTTATTTGACTTCATATATTAAACATATGTCATAACAATTATGATATGTCTTTATAAATTTCAATTCTTTACCAATATCTTACGTGGTACTTATCTTATATGGTATTTATATTATATCCTAGAATGCCATAGTAGTATCAAAGCGTCAAAAACAATCACAATCAATACAACCTGCTAAAGATGCATATCTACTGTGGTATGACCAACTGCTTTTCTCAAAACAAGTGCCGACAGAAACTTTACCTGCTGTTCTTGTAGATCAAGATCACAGTCAGTGCTCTATACTAACTTACCATACATGACAGTTACACCACACAATCTGGGCTTTACACAGTATTGTGAGCAGCTGAATGTCTGTCGCTTGGACAGAGCTGTGGTTGTTTCACAAACACACACACACACACACACACACACACACACACAGACAGACAGACACACCTGGTAGGGTGGCGGAGGCTCTCCGGGCAGACTCGCCCCCTCGGACTCGTTCAACAGGGACAGATCATCAGCGCCTTGAGAAGACAGACAGTTCCCCATTGAGCTGACCCTAAACGGCACAACAGACCCACCAAATAGACGCCTATGCGGCCTTTAAAAGACTCAGTTCTGTTCACGGGTCGTCCTCTCTGAAGCCCGTTGTGTCTGGTGTCTGTCTATGTAGAAAAACAAACGCCTCGCCAGCCAACGCTTTCGATTTTCACACACAAAAAAAGACGTTTTAAAAAGCCGTAATCCTGGTAAACGTTCACTTCCCGGTTGGTTTAATCCTCGCGGGTGTGCCCGGTATGCGTGACATATAATATGCAGTTATTATGGCCTGTACAGGGCAATATTTTTAGGTAAGACCTTTTGACGACTCCATATCTCCTTTCATTGTTTACAAACTCTTGGACCGGAAGTCAGTTGATCTGTTGATTGTGGGTAATGTAGTTTTGCACAGAACGCTGCTATTGAAACCAACTTTTTGGGAACACAAGAAAGCACATTTCGCGTTTATATCTAACACTATTCTAGAAATACATCTGAAAATCTTCATGATATATCTATATCTTTATTTTCCGTTCTTGCATTATTCCAAAACTTCAAAACTTCACTCAAATTGTCATTCCGCTAAATTCCGAAGGGTGTCAGCGTGGCTTTTCCGCCTGGCTTTCCAACCGATCACCGAAGAAGATGACGCAGCGCACCTGACAGGCTTGTTTTTAGCTTGTTAGCTAGAGAGCTACATTTCTAATCGCTTATAAACTGTCCCTCGCTTTCATAACCAAATATTTCCGTGGGATATAAAAGTGTACAAAGGTCCCGAATCAAGAAGAAAGAAGACGACAGAGGCAGAGCAGTCATGCAGATCACACTGAAGACTTTGCAGCAGCAGACCATTCAAATAGACATCGACGATGACCAGACGGTATTTGCGCGTTTATTTACGCGCATTTAAATACATTAACAGCTCGTAAAAGTACTCTGAGTGAATGAATATCCATGACAGCAGCGTATTTCGAGCGAAGAAGGGTCAATTCAAGACGTTAATTCATTTATGATTCATTGGGAATCAACTGGGCGATAGATAGATAGATAGATAGATGATTAGTGTAAATTAAATACATTTGTCAGCTTGGCATTTTACAATATAGGATTGAAGATTATTATGTACATCTAATATAAATATGTTGTTAAGAATATTACAACAGGATGTTTTGTTGCTTAAAATAGAGTGTATTCCTTTCCTTTTGTGATTTGAACAGTTATGAATGATCTTTCCCAGGTGAAGGCATTGAAAGAGAAGATCGAGGCTGAGAAGGGCCGAGACAGTTTTCCGGTAGCGGGACAGAAGCTCATCTATGCGGGGAAAATCCTGCAGGATGACACGCCCATCAAGGACTACAAAATCGATGAGAAGAACTTTGTGGTGGTGATGGTGTCAAAGGTCAGATTTCAGAAATGTTTTTGTCCATGAGAAATGGAATCATGCAGCTAAAAAGATCAGACTATTTTAATTTGTTTGTTTTTTCTCCGTCCAGACGAAAGCAGCAGGACCACCCGCCCCACCCTCAGAACCACCCAAATCTGTCGCAGCGTCTTCCTCTTCCTCATCTCCTCCTCCTCCTCCGGCCCCTGCAGCCATCCCCATCCCGAGTGACGAGCGTTCAGAAGACCCGCCTGCAACCGTCTCACCTGTACAGAGTCCCGAAGAGTGAGACTAAACTATGATTTGAGAATATATACCACAGTAGATGTATTTGCTTGAATGGCCACGAGTGCTTTACATTATTTTCATGTGAGAGCGAAATGTTTCCCTACGTACGTAATCTTAGATTTTTGGTCCATCGAGGCATCTGAAATATTAAACTAAGTGCAATCTAGTGTTGTCAAAAATATAGATTTTTCAATGCATGTCGATACTGAAATATCTGAAACACTTTTAATACTCATTTTCCACTGAACATATGCACAATACCAGCTGGGATACAAACCCGCCTCCTCTCACTCACTCGGTTCATGTGCTCTGGATGAATATAGGGCTTGAATTTCAGTGTGGTATTGCGCATAATTTGTGCAAATTAACCTCTCAGTTATAAAATTACTTATTTTTCGCTGCTTATTGCGTTTAAACAGAAAAAAAAATTCAGGTTCACAAACTTTCAAGGACCTGTGGGAACCCTGTATAATGTAAGTTTGTGTGTTTTGCAGTCGCACAGGTCAGGTGGCTGATGGGGAAGATGCGTCTTCAACATTAGGTAATTAGAAAATCAAGCTTCACCAGCTTTTCTAAAAGAAAAACTTGTGTTATTCATTGGGAATATCCAGTCTTTCTCTCTCTCAGATGCTCGTGCATGTGTGTTTTTGTAGTTACAGGTCAAGAGTACGACGCCATGCTCACAAATATCATGTCCATGGGCTATGAGCGAGATAAAGTGGTGGCTGCGCTCAAGGCCAGTTATAACAACCCTCACCGCGCTGTGGAGTATCTGCTGAATGTGAGTGTGGCTTCTTTCCCAATGCTTTTATAATGCCAGGACCGAACACTACATGATTGTGAATCTGAGTGTGTTGTTTCAGGGGATCCCCACTGTCCCGGTGCAGGAGACCCGTCCTGCTCCAGTCCAGCTCCCCACAGACACACAGCCCACTGAAGGTGAGCTGCTGACTCAAATACATAATTTCAAGCAATCTCACTCCACACTTTTACAAGTTTGGGGGATTTTTTTTTTAATCTTCTTATCAATGGTGAAAACAGTTTCTTAAAACAGGGTGTGTGTGCATCTTAACCCCGGTTTCACAGACGAGGCTTAAGTGTATGTTTGAGCTGTTTTAACTGAAAGCAACACTCACCTAAAGGATTATTAGGAACACTTGTTCAATTTCTCATTAATGCAATTATCTAATCAACCAATCACATGGCAGTTGCTTCAGTGCATTTAGGGGTGTGGTCCTGGTCAAGACAATCTCCTGAACTCCAAACTGAATGTCAGAATGGGAAAGAAAGGGGATTTAAGCAATTTTGAGCGTGGCATGGTTGTTGGTGACTGAGTGTTTCACAATCTGCTCAGTTACTGGGATTTTCACGCACAACCATTTCTAGGGTTTACAAAGAATGGTGTGAAAAGGGAAAAACATCCAGTATGCGGCAGTCCTGTGGGCCAAAATGCCTTGTTGATGCTAGAGGTCAGAGGAGAATGGGTCGACTGATTCAAGCAATAACCACTCGTTACAACCGAGGTATGCAGCAAAGCATTTGTGAAGCCACAACACGCACAACCTTGAGGCGGATGGGCTACAACAGCAGAAGACCCCACCGGGTACCACTCATCTCCACTACAAATAGGAAAAAGAGGCGACAATTTGCAAGAGCTCACCAAAATTGGACAGTTGAAGACTGGAAAAATGTCGCCTGGTCTGATGAGTCTCGATTTCTGTTGAGACATTCAGATGGTAGAGTCAGAATTTGAACATGGACCCATCATGCCTTGTTACCACTGTGCAGGCTGGTGGTGGTGGTGTAATGGGGTGGGGATGTTTTCTTGGCACACTTTAGGCCCCTTAATGCCTAGTTCACACTACATGATTTTAAAATGTCGGGCTGAACTGTGCAGTTCACACTACATGACTCTCAGTGAAATCATGAGTGTTCAAGTTGTTTAGCTGTTCACACCACACAACACAACGTGATTGATCCACAACAGGAGGTAACTCACTACACGAGTTAACAACGCACTGCATAGAGATACAACCACGATCGGATGATAAGAGCATATCATTTGTGACTCAATGAGAGCTGTTTCAGTACTATAGTACGGTCTAAATCCTGAAAATAATCAAACAAATAACGAGTTGACAACAACACGATTCTATCTGGTCTAGAAACCATGTTTTGTAACGAAAAACCACGCAATAAAACGAACCAGAAATGACGCGAAACTGCAGAGAAGAACACAACACACGAATATGGACGTCAGACAGAAACTAGTGCTGCACACTGTTTGCTCGACGATCTGCTCTGAGAAAAAAAAATGCAAAAAAGAAAAAGTAAGATTTACCTGGTGCCCTCAACCCATGCGTTGCTATGATTGGCTGTACTCATGACATCACTGAGATTGAGTCGCGCGACTGCTCGAGATATCTAGCATGCTAGATATTTTTCTGAGCTCGGTGACCTGTCTGCGAGGTGTCTGCGAGCTGTCTTTGATGCGTTGTTGGCTCTTTCACACTAACGGATTGGCGAGCGTTAATCGTCCGCTAATCGCCCGCGATTTGCACGCGATAACACCCTGACTTGTCGGCGACTCAACGATTTGCAAATCGGGCTTTAATCGGGCTTAAAATCACGTAGTGTGAACTAGGCTTAAGGCGCTTTTCCACTGCATGGTACGGTTCGGTACGGCTCACTTGTGGTGCTTTTCCACTGCATGGTACGGTACAGTACGGTTCGCTTCAGGTCGCTTTAAATGGTACCTGGTCTGTTGAGGTTCCAAGCGTACCGTACCGGTACTAAAATGTGACGTGAAACACTGCAGATCACTGATTGGTCAGACAGAATCGTCACTACCAGCGTCACTACTAGCGTCATTGGATTTGCGACACGAGACACTTTTTTAGCAGTATTTTTGTTTTGCTGCCATCAGCCTCATTTTAAACACATTTTCCCGTCTAGCAGTTAAAAACAACCACATACCGAGAATCAGGAACACCATCCCCTCGATAGTCTCCACTGTTCCTGTGTTGTGGGTTTGAAAATGTGGCGCTTTTAAGATGATGTCATGGCAGTAGAGGCGCGCGCAAATAACGATCAGCCCCACACACTTTGAAGGGGTACTACTGCAGTGGAAACGCAAAGCGATCCGAACTGTTCCGCGCCGAGTCGAAGCGTATTGAGCCGAACCGTACCGTACTATGCAGTGGAAAAGCGCCATTAGTGCCAATTGGGAATCGTTTAAATGCCACGGCCAACCTGAGCATTGTTTCTGACCATGTCCATCCCTTTATGGCCACCATGTCCCCATCCTCTGATGGCTACTTCCAGCATGTCACAAAGCTCGAATCATTTCAAATTGGTTTCTTGAACATGTCAATGAGTTGACTGTACTAAAATTGCCGCCACAGTCACCAAATCTCAACCCAATAGAGCATCTTTGGGATGTGGTGGAACGGGAGCTTCATCCCACAAATCTCCATCAACTGCAAGATGCTATCCTATCAATATGAACCAACATTTCTAAAGAATGCTTTCAGCACCTTGTTGAATCAATGCCACGTAGAATTAAGGCAGTTCTGAAGGCGAAAGGGGGTCAAACACAGTATTAGTATGGTGTTCCTAATAATCCTTTAGGTTTTGGCTCTAGATACAAACCAGCAATGTTTTTTTTTCTAAGGCATGTTTATAAAAGCTACTTAAATTTCCTACACAGTAGCTAAAATAAAATATTGTCTTAGAAAGTTTTATTTCTATCATTTGAGTGAACTATAATAACGCTGCTGTTGCTGTAGGCGAGAACCCCCTGGAGTTCCTGCGCTCTCAGCCTCAGTTCCAGAGCATGAGGCAGGTGATCCAGCAGAACCCGTCCCTCCTGCCGGCCCTCCTGCAGCAGCTGGGACAGGAGAACCCCGAACTCCTGCAGGTGAGAACACACCCCTGCGTGTGTGTGTGTGTGTGTGTGAAGCCGTCTACTCACGGTGTGATCGTGTTTCACTGACCGCAGCAAATCAGCCAGCACCAGGAGCGCTTCATCCAGATGCTGAACGCACCGGTGGGCGAGGGCGAGGGCGGAGAGGGGGCAGAGTTTGGAGATCTGGGGGCTATCGGTGACGAGGCAACGCCCGAGAGTTACATCCAAGTGACGCAACAAGAGAAAGAAGCCATCGAGAGGGTGAGTGAACGGCACGGAGTTCCTTGTACAATCATGAAGCGCTTTATTGATTACTGATGTTGAGTTTAATAACCTTATGTTAACTGCTGCTTAGTTTGTGATGCGTCATACCACTGTTATTTTAGTTGCATTTAGATGGTGCTATTATAGTTTAATAATAATGTACATTTTTTCAGTTTATAAATGTATCCTTTTTATTTTTTTTTTTTTGATTATATTTATTTGTTTTAAATGTGAGTATATTTTGTACATGCTTTTGAAAGGAGTCTTTTTCTGCTCACAAGGGCTGCATTTATTTGACTAAAAATACAGTTAAGACTTTAATATTATTACAGTTTAAAATAGCCGTTTTGTATCTGAATATATTAAAAATGTAATTTATTCTTGTGATGCAAAGCTGAATTTTCAGGAACGTTTATAATCATAAGAAATGTTTTTTGAGGATTAAATCATCATATTGGAGTGATTTCTGAAGGATCATGTGACACTGAAGACTGAAGGAATGATGCTGAAAATTCACAGGAATAAATTACATTTCACGATATGTTCAAATATATAACAGCTATTTATAAATGGTAATGATATTACATAATGTTATTGTTTTACTGTATTTTTGATCAAATAAATACATGCAACTTCTTCGAGAATATTAAATAAAAATCGAAATTATTCCCGTAGTATAGTTTTTATTAAATTGTATTTCAGTTCTAGCTTTACAACTAAATGAAAATGCCAACTAGTTGAAGAAAAAAGGTAACACTTTAACTTGACACCTTCATAAGACTGACATGACATATGTCTTGAATATGAAGTAGGGTTTATGACAACTGTCATTAAGTGTCATTCGCTCAATAATGACATTTTGAATGCAAATATGACATTGTTTAAGATATATTTGTTATGACATCTTGACATAAACCAATACATCATAACCTGTCCGTGTCTAAGTTAAACTGTCATGTGAGGCCATTGTCATGAATATTTTTCAACTACAGTGCTACTAATCGAATGTGTCAGTAAAAAGTTATAATGGCTTCATGACACCAAATGTCAAAACCAACCACCTGACCGTTTAATGTAATGTTAACCCATAAAGCTAGGTAGTTTGATAATCTGCTTATGATGTATTGGTTTGTCAAGGCGTCATCTCAAACATTGTCATATTTGCATTAAAAATGTCATAACTGAGTGAATGATACTTAATGACAGTTGTCACAAAAATCTTTCATATTCATAACACATGTCATGTCATGATTATGAAGGTGTCATGTCAGTCTTATGCACACCCAAGATTAAAAATAAAACAGTTTAAGGTTTACATTTGATTTCAAAAGCGTTTTTATGGTTTTATCTGTGATATCCCTGACGGGAAGTGAATAATCGAAACTGTCCGTGTCTCTCTTTCAGTTAAAAGCTCTTGGGTTTTCAGAAGCTCTGGCGGTCCAGGCGTACTTCGCCTGCGAGAAGAACGAGAACCTGGCCGCCAACTTCCTGCTCAATCAGAATTTCGAGGACGAATGAGAGTCGTGGAGAGCTCGTGTTCCCCTCCCCTCACACACCACACAAGCACTGCATCTACTCGGGACATTATTTCTTTAAGTTTACAAGTCAAGGGGCGACTGGCAGAGCGGTCGGGGACGGGGCGGATGCAATCACACGGTGAACAAATTCCAATGGAATTGACGGCATTTGGGTTGAATGCACTCTAGCATGTTGAAGGGTGTGTGTGTGTGTGTGTGTGTTCCCTTAGGGAATATTTGACTAATTCAGCATCAACGCTCTCATCGTAGTATTATGGGCTGAGGAGGTTAGAGGTAGGCATATGCATTTGCTTGTTTTTAGTGGGGGAAAAGGACTAATAATACGAGTCTAATGGAGGATTTTATATATTTCTCTAAAACCCAGAGCTATTTCTGTATTTCTCCCAGCACACACCTCTAAAGAATGTGTATAACAATATATGAAACAAATAGCGCATCCAAATTCTATAACATTGTCCGCAACGCAAAATGACCTGAATCGATGCTGTTTTGTAAATGAATCCATATCGTGTCGAATATCATAATCTGAGTGATGATCTTTTGAATGTACACCGATGGAGGATGTCGTGAAACACAAGACTGTCCTAATACTAAATTTGTCTTATTTAAATTCAACATGAAATGGCGGAAATCGCAAACTCTTTCTGTAATGTGACGAGTTCAACCTAATTACAAAAATGTAGAATGTGTCTGAAAAATAAGGGATTCGTTCCTTCTCGTCTGACAAGTTATTTTGATGAAAGATTGCACTGAATACCGTACGTTTCTAAGTCACAAGAAAGTGAATAGTCAATTTCATGTTGACTTTAAAAAACAACAACTTTGTATCGAAACTGCAAAAGTCATGAGTATAAACAAGGATCATTTTCCATAGACGTTAGAGCTTGTATAACATGAGAGGACCAACCTGTACCTTGTATCCAGCAACAAAGAGGTTTTTGGCACACTTAAGCTCACTATAGAGACCAGAACCAGCATGATGGTACTTTGTAATGCCAGATTCTTAAAGGAGTAGTTCACTTTTTAAAAAACTTTTGCTGATAATTTACTCACCCCCATGTCATCCAAGATGTCCATGTCTTTCTTTCTTCAGTCGAAAAGAAATGAAGGTTTTTGATGAAAACATTCCTGGATTTTTCTCCATATAATGGACTTCAATGGGAACCAAACGGTTCAAGGTCAAAAAGACCATTTCAGTGCAAACCGCAAACTGTTCAAAGGGCTTTAAACGATTCCAGGCGATGAATAAGGGTCTTATCAAGCAAAACGATCGCTCAAAAAAAAAAAAAAAAAAAAAAGTTTAAGTTTTATAAGCTCAAATGCTCGCTTTGCTCTGTTCTGTGATGCGTGTTCGTGACTCTCCTGTTCGAACTCGTTCATCAAAATGAACAAATCTTTTTTCGTGTCATTTGGTTCATTCAACAAACGAAATGTACAAGTTGACTCCTGATTCGTTCATTTTGATGAACGAGTTTCAACAGGAGAGTCACAAACATGCATCACAGAGCATTTGAGCTTATACAATTTTTTTAAATGAGCGATCGTTTCACTTGATAAGACCCTTATTCATCGTCTGGAATCATTTAAAGCCCTTTGAACAGTTTGCACTGAAACTGTCTTTTGGACCTTGAACCGTTTGGTTCCCATTGAAGTCCATTATATGGAGAAAAATCCTGGAATGTTTTCATTAAAAACCTTCATTTCTTTTCGACTGAAGAAAGAAAGACGTGGACATCTTGGATGACATGGGGGTGAGTAAATTATCAGCAAAAGTTTTTTTTAAAAGTGAACTACTCCTTTAAGTCCTGTCAGACAGAGATTTTCAGTGTAAACCTGACAATGGGTTCCTCTGCTGATGTGTTCGAAGTAAACATTCACCTCTTACAGACTTAAAGGGATACTCCACTTTATTTGGAAATAGGCTCATTTTACAGTTAAACAGTCGAGTTTTACCATTTTCGAATCCATTCAGATGATTTTCTGATATTTAGAAGAATATCAGTAAGCAGACATTGACTTCCATAGTAGGAAAAAATATATATGAATGGATTCGAAAACGGTAAAACCCAACTGTTTAACTATGGGAGAGTTGTAAAATGAGCCTATTTCCAAAAAAACAAACAAAGTGGACTCGGGAGTATCCCTTTAAAGAGCCTTCGGCATCAATCCACCATATTAGCACCACAGAAATGCTCCTTTTTAATGTAATAGCCAAACTGCCAGACAATACTTTTGGTTTACCCATCAGCAGGCCTACGTGAAATCTGAATATATGGAGAATGGCTTTAAAAATGCAACAGAGTATTATGCTTTTACCGTCGACTGAATAATGTATACTCAAATTCTTTAACGTGGTGTAAATGTGTTGAAGTTTCTATTGATGCAGATTTCACGTGGGCCTGTTTGTTAGTAATTAATAGTTTGATTTACTGTAGTAAAACTCTTCTGGGATCAATAAAATCTTATTGCAAAGAACAGAGTTGGTGGTGATTTCCCATCATAAAACAAAACCCAAACCAGGATCTTTGTACAGTCAAGAACATCATTTATTCAATCAGGTGCTGCTCTTTACAAACATTTTAGTTGTTTTTTGTTTTTTTTTTTATAATGGAAAAGAATCTGTAAATAACACATGCAGATTGCCAAGGGCTCCGGGGGACGGAGAGCACTGGATCAGAGGCGTTGGCTAAACTACTATACCTAAAAACAAGCTAATTAAAAACACATCGGCCCGGTTAGATAGTTAAATATGCATTCGGCTACATGTGCACGAGTGAGTCGGGGCAGATTCGGAATAAATAAAAGAATGCAATTGCCAGTACAGATGGAGGCATGATCGATAATACTGATTTTGGTGCTACTGACTAATCACTTGAGCATGGTGTGCATGTAAATTAATGTACAATAATTGAAATATTAATGATGGATTAGTTTAATTTAGATGACACTCATTTAAAGTATCCTACGCACATTGCTGGGACACAAGCATCTCAATGGCCGTTGCTCGACTGGCTCATGCAACCCTGAATTAAAGCCCGTTCACACCAAGAATGACAACTGTATTAGCATTGAGCATTCACACACACACACACACACTATGAGGGGCCGTTCACACCGAATGCATTTTCCATTCCAATGTGCTACTTTTCCATTGTTTTCTATGTAAACACACATGCCTGACCGCATCTTGCGTTTTTCTTCTGTGAACGAGCCCTAACGCTATGGATATTTATTAAAAAAAAAAATTAAAAATCATAGCTTCATCGGATCGGTCTGAAATTTGGTGACTTTGTTGGTATTTGGTATATGAACACCCCAAAAAATTGGGGACAGGATGTGAATAATCTAAGTGGTTGTAAACACTCAGGACCTTCGGGTCCAAATGGACCCCCATAGGAAATGAATGGGAAATTGGCAAAAATGTGAAAATACACATTTTTTTTTTTTTTTTTTTTGAACGTACAATCTACAAATCAGCCACGATCCAGAAAAAAAGCACACAACAGTGAAGGGGTGAATCTCTAAAACATCACAAGTGCAAAACAGACACATCCACACACACACTTTTATACATGTACACACAAATAAATTCTGATTACATATGTATTTTAAATTTTTAAAATGCTCAGTTTGTCCATCAGATGGCATCCATCTCATTCCAAAAATTGCTTTTATGAGGCCTAGGCTTGACTCTAAAATGAAATAAAATGAAAAAATTATATTATATTCAATGGGGAAAAATTGGGTCATAATTATTGCATTAATATTAATTATAAATTATTTTTATTTTTTAAATTATCTCAAAACACCAAAAAAGAAAAGAAAAAATATTATTAAAAAAAAAATCGTTTTTTTTTTTTTTTTATAAATATGAATCCTGCCCTTTGGGTCCATTTGAAGCCAAATTTCTCAATGTGACTGTTAAACGAACAACCCCAGAGGGGTAAAGCCTGCTCCTTTAAATGCTCAAGCTTTTTAAAGCAAGATGGAATCTGATTGGCTGTCAATGTTATCATTAATTGGCTGAAAAATAATTCCAACAATAACATTCGCATAATGAACGTTATAGATATCATACTTGGTGTGACCAGGCCTTTATGCATCATTTACGCTATTTCCTCCCCCCAAAAATATATGATAATTGCAAAAATTCACAGCTGCTTTTGAACTTGAGCATGCAACCTGTCTGTTACTAGTCCAAGCCATTGACCACATCTGGATCAGTACTTCTAAACGCATGGCATGTTATTCGTAGTGCATCGTGTCTCCTGATCAAATCCCTCCATAAGGTGCAAATCATCAGTCAAGTTCTTTAAGCAGCTAGTCTCAAACAACCACCAAAAAGGTGCTTTAATTATACGAATGCAGCTTTATGAATAAAACTGAAATAAATACCAGACAAACAAGCGTCTCCTGGTCCAGTGCTCTCCACCTACAGCCAAAAAAGCCCGGGACCGCGCCGCTTCCCGAGACGCGTACGCCGTCACTGCCGGTCTCAGACGTAGGAAGGGTCAGCGGGACGGTCCCGGGTCAGTTTCTACTGCGTTTGACCGAAGAAGGGAGAGATGTGTATGATATAAACATGTGAAGAAGCATACAGACAGGGATATAACAGTTTACAACATCTTGCTCAACATTTTTCATCAAAGAAGGGAGAGGGAGGAAAGATAAGGATAGACATCTACAGTGCCAAGAGCGAGAGACCGATAAAGACAGAGGTACAGAGAGAAAGGGACCCGATTTTTTTTTTTTTTTGCCTTTTTAACTTTTTTTTTTCCATCATTGTACAATAAAAAGAACGAAATCACATCCATTTTCGTGTAGTACTATATACTGTGTATACGGCTTGAGAAAGCTCAGAAGAAGGAAAGACGGGTGTTCATCATTTACAAGATGGTGTCTGTGAACAAAAGGCACTTTGAATGGGACAACCTTTAAATGCTCACCTATACACTACAGCACGAACACTATGGGAGCTCATTTACATACAGGAAGTGTTTCCAGGACGATACGCGGCACTGATTTCCCCTCCCCCCGACGCGTTACTGCCTCGCGTCTTGAAGCACGTGTGCTCTAAACTATGACTAACAAAACCCTACTCACGTTTACATCGACACGATCTCGCCTAGATTTGGAGCGAATGTGAACTGATTGTAACCAACCCTCAGGTGGATTCTGAATCTTGACTAATAATGGCCGTTCCTCCAACCAAAACATGCTCTAGTTTCTGCATCTGGTATTCTGCTGCGTTCAAGTCCTCCTGGGAAGTTAGTTTCTACAAGTCACGAAGCCGTAATTATGACGTCAGGTGTTTTCAAGTCACAAAAATGCACAGCAAGGTTGTGTTAACGCTGCCCTCACATGCTTCCCACTTCTGAAGTCGCGATTACAAACTTGTGTTCAAGTGCTTTGTTGTCGTAAAGAATATGAATCATGGATATTCTTGGGGAAATCTTATTGAAGAAACTTAATTTTGAATAACACAATTCGGTCAAATACAGGCTCTTTTCACTGTATAAAACATACAATATGCTTCAAATAGCTAAACATAGCCTATAGACCCCATGGTGACGTTTTTTTGTGGGCGGAGCTTAGTTGGAGGCAGAAAGATCCCTCTGGCCGCTTCACTAACGCTAGTTAGCAAGTATTGTTAGCTTGTTTTTTTAACAATGACTGGAGAAAATCCGATTTTGTCTTAATGTGTAAGGTCACTCAGTGTCCAGGACCGCGATTGTTATTTCCAAAAGTTAATTTTAACGGACGAAACCAGATTGGCCGACCCGTAGCCGCCTACACGCTCACTCAACGCATGGACGATCTGACAGGATTAACGTTACGTTACCCCGGTTGAGTGGCCTGACTTCTACAAACTGATGGCATTTAAATTTTTAGATGCCTAAAAACTATATGGTCCTGTACAAGACTTGGGAGTACGATCCGCAGTTCTGCCGAGACGACGACAATGTAAAGAGTGACATTACGGTGCGATTTTAATGATGTGAATATTTTCTAGAAATAAAAATTCCAGATCCAGCATGTTAATTTTTCATCAATTCTTGCACCAAACAACACAACAAGATGATATTTAATAATTGTAACAATAATTTAAGCTCCTTATTATGTAGCCGTATCTGTGCTGTTTTGCATTGACCGCCTCCAGTTTTCACTTTGTTTTGCCTCCAGCTAGCGCCGTGACGTAACTGTGACGTCGGCGCAAAAGGGGGTCTATATGTAAATATTAACTACTTTAATAAAAAGACTAAATGATGTAGCTCTTGTGGGGGAAAAACCCCAGGAAACTCGTCTTTGTGATGATTTCAATAGCATGTGAAGGCAGCATTAATGGCCTCCTGAAAGTTTTTAAAGTATGAATATGTTCGCCTGGTGTGTTCCAATACAATTTGCACTGTAAAAAAAACGGTATACTACTGGTCGCCAGCATCACACCGTAACTACTGTATACGGTCTGTTACTGTTTTTGTGTTAGGGCATATAGCTGTTAAAATAAAGTGTTATACAGTAGCTGACAATACGGTATTTAGCTGTTAATTTCAAAAACAGTAACACACCGTATTTTTACAGTATGATGCTGCCAGTAGTTTACCGTTTTTTTACAGGATTATTTTTTACAGTGTAGGAGATATAAGCATTCAAACCTTGGATCACATCTTCTATCTAATGAAATGCTCTCTAGAATCTGAAGCTCCGCCCCTATGCTATAAACGGGAGGAGCCATTTAATCTGTCATATGTTTCAGTGGAAATTACATCAACGCATCAAATAAAGCTGCGCGCTCCAAGGCACTTCAGTGGGGCTTTAACTATTTCTACATAATGACGAATAAAGAATGTGCCTGAGGTGTGTTTTTGCTTTTATTCAATTTATAAAGGTGCTGTGAACTGAATCATCGGGCTACTATTATTTTGTAATTGTGCATCATGTTTTGTATACGCAACTTAGCTATCTTTTTTTTTGTAAATGAAAATAAAAACAACAAATTTACTGCCAAATACAGGCAAACTGCATCTCCATGTTGCGAGTTTTCCATTTCTTCGTGGCTCATAAATACGATCTTCCCGACATGACTTGAACGCACCTTATATCTGGACATTTGAAGGAGTAATAAGGGGCATAGCTTTTTTAAAGGTTGTAGTAAAATGCCTTTTGTCAGAACCAATATATATATATATATTTATATATATATAAAAATTTGAACCCCCCTTAGTGAATACAAAAGAGAAGAAGAGAGAAACAGAGGTTCGTAAAACTCGTCTCGTCAGAAACAGTCGTTCTGGTGTGGTATTATTCACTTGTGGGTAACAGAAGCACCAGTATTTTCTTTTCTTTTTGTTTGTAGCAATACATTTGCTTTTGTAAAATCGTTCCTTCAGCCCCCACACCCCTGAAATAGTTTAAAAACAAAAGCTTACAAATAAAACATTAAAAAAAGATAAATGTAAAGTAAAAATTGAATTCCCCAACGCTTACAAAGACTGGGATTCTTTTTGTGGCCCTCGTGTTTAGAGTCCAGGAGCTCGCAGACTTCAACTCTTTTTTTTTTTTTGTTTTTTTGTCTTTTTTCACTTGCTTCGCTTTCTTAAAAATCTGAAGACAAACACTGATATCTACCCAACACATTGCACACGGCTCAGTCCACATATAACGTTTTTTTTCTCTCTCATTAATAACACTTTTCAACAGAAAATTGACAAATTAGTTTCTGTTCTGAAGGTGTGTTTGTGTCCGTTTTTGATCTCTTCAGCGCTTCTGAAGAGTTCGTGGGTTTGTGGGATGACCTCACTGACTCGGGTAAAAGATCAGAAAATAACTAGACTGCCGTAGAGCTAATTTCACAGCGGAGAAACTATACATATGTATATATACACACACAGATATGTTCTGGATAACATTTATCTATAAATATGATGTTTGCAGTTGCTCATATGCTGTTTGCTAAGCCCATGATACATATTGTACATATTTTCTGTAGCTTATACATGAAGTGAAGACCCTGAATTGCATGTAAAGGGGACACCGAGGCACTTTGATGATGAAATCGTCAGCTCTCAGCCAATCAGAGTCCCTGACATGTGATTGACAGCCGGGCAGTCCAGTTATTTAGTGAGGTCAGTGCTTTCGAGTGTTTGTATTGAAAATCACATTGTTCATCTAAAATCTGTTAAATCGTGTTTGATCGAGGGGTCTGAGTTTAAAGGTTTCCCTTTGTCCTTTAATGACGTGGGTGTGTGTCATAGTGCAATGTTTGTGTGTGTGTGTGTGCGTGTTTATGTACCACTGTGCTGATAGGCTAAATGAAATGGCAGCCATACGTAGATTGTCTCGTGAGTCAGGCTGAACCGGTGAAGCAAAAGGTTGAGTCGTGAACGAACTGTAAAGTGATGGAGAATGTGATTGGTAGGAAGGGCAGAGCACCGTCGAAATCAATAGCGACCTCAAACATCTGGTTAATGGAAACTAGAGATTGTCCGTTTGTTCTTAAACTGTTGTTCTAAAACTAAAACAAAAACACTTTGGAAAGCACAATTCAACATGCAGGATCTGCAGGAGCGGCTACGCTATGCAAACTAAAATCGCGCAAAACCAGAAAACAAACACAAGTGAAAGGGCGAATGTCACATAAACACGTCCAAGTCACATTTCACTACTGGATCAAAAGTTTAGCCTATTTTGGGATCATTACGATTTTTTTTTTTGCACTGTGACGAGGTAAAAAAAAATTGTAATCATCATTTAATAAATAAAAATTAATGATAGATAATATGTTTTGTATTACAATACGCTAATTAGAATGAGAGTGTTGCATTATGGTGATGAGAATTTTTTTTTTTGGTGTGTGTGTGTGTGTGTTGGGGCTTAATTATAATGAAAATTATACTAAATCATTGCATTTCTTTTTTATTCATTTCATTTTTTTTCTTTGGATTTTGGGGTGAAATATGACGTGGAAAGTTTTTATGACATCCACCCAAAAATGTACTGCAAAACCAAACGCAAAGTAAAGCAGAAGCCCTTGTGTTCAGGGCTGACTGATCGAAGCTGGTGAAGAGGTCAGCGATGGGCGCACCAAAACCCTCTAGTTCATTCGAATCGATCGGTTTTATGACTCAAATCACTGGCCTTTTAATTCATAAACACTACAAAATGAAAAAAAAAATGAGTCAGAAGCTTGACGTTAAGGTCACTCGTGCTTGACCCTTCCCATTCCGGTCATCAGTGGTCTATATGATGCTGTGATGTGTGTGTGTGTGTGTTTTACCTTAGACACATGTAGCCTGACTCCACATCGCAAATCTAAGGCCAAAGCATCTGTCATCCCTTATCATGAATCATATAGTGCATACGTTTAGGTGAATTGCACACGGTTAGTGTTATCTGTAGTTTCGCTCACAGTCTATTGCTTGTCAACGTGTAAACAACGAGAGGATGTCGAGTTCACACTGGGCTGGAGGGCGTCACCAAGATCAGCAAATCCAGAGCCAATCAGAAGGCTCCCGCCGAGTCTCTCCATCCAATCACACGCGTCCGTGATTGACATCATCCAGGTTCCATTTCAAATGTCCCTTTTCGATGAGTTCAGCTTCTGAATAGAGTTCTGACTGGGAAGAGATGGATTTTCCTCACCATGGCGGCGTATGACTGGTGGATGAATGAACAAATAAAAAAAAAAAGGATTGGTCTATGTGCCGGATGCCTCAGGAACACGACAAAGACGTTGAGCTGTTGCGTCAATCCTTTGGATGGTTTGGGTGGTTCTCTGAGCGCTCCAGACTGGCAGGGTAATGCTGAAGTTTTCCAGATTTGCCAGTGTTTTGGGAATTGTGTGTGTGTGTGTGTGTGTGTGTGTATGTGTGTTTGAGTGAGACTTTACAGAGGGGCAAGTTCCAAACTTAGCTTCGTGACTCCATTTCCAGTTTTCATTGTGGATTTTTGTCTGTGTGTTCATGAAAAGTCTTGTCAAAGGAACCATGACTGAAAGAAAAGGAAATGAAGGTGAGTCGTCATAAAAACACTGTTTAACAAAAACAAACTAGGTGACCTTAGTCTCACATTCCTGCCTAATTTCTAACCAAAAATTAAAATGATGTCAATTTTACTCACACTCATGTCATTGAAAACCCAGGACTTTCTCGCTTCAGTGGAACATAAAGGTCAAATTTAGCATATATTTGTTTGGAAAACGGATACAATGGAGGGTTTTCAGCAGACATTTTAACAGCAAATAATGACTTAAAGGGATAGTTCACTTTGAAATTAAATTTTTGGTATGTTTTATCTTACCTCAAGGGCATCCAAGATGTAGGTGTCTTTATTTCCGTAGTAGTTTCAATTTTGATATTTTTAGGTCAAACCATTCTTGTCTGTCAGTCATATAATGGAGGTCTATGGTCACCACCTTTCGTTTTCTCACACAAATCACTCGTTTCGTGTCTTAGGCCATCAATATGTACTTACATTCACAAGTTATTAAATCATGTTCAATTTGGACTTCTCTGTGCATGCTCTTTGAGGTGGTGACCATAGACCTCCATTATATGACTGACAGACACAAACGGTTTGACCTAAAAATATCAAAATTGAAACTACTACGGAAATAAAGACACCTACATTTCGGATGCCCTTGAGGTAAGCTAAAACACACCTAAAATTTATTTCAAAGTGAGCTATCCCTTTAAATGTAATCACAACACTTGTATTCAAAAGTCTGGATTTTTAAAATAAATTAAAACTTTTATTCATAAAGTAAGCATTAAATGATCAAAAGTGACATTTATGATAATACAAAAGCTTTCAAGCCTGTACAACAACAAGACATTATGGTATTCATAATGTATGCATTAAATCTTTTCATAAATATTTGTAACCAACGTTAAAAAGCATTATCCTTGTGAAAGTTCAGCTTTGTTCACAGGACTAAATTACACTTGAAAATATAACAGTTCTTTTAAACTGTAATAATATATCACAATATTACTAGCTTTGGTGAGACATCTTTCAAAAAACACGTTTCCAGTCTTGAAATTCACAATTTTCCTTGACATTTCCAGATTTCAGGCAGAAAGTCACATGGTTTTGGAAAGACATGAAGCCAAACAGTACATGCAAACATTTCACTGACATAATTTGCACTGTTAAGAGACCAATTTCTCTAAAGTTTGAGGTTTCGATCAGCGTCCAGCACCACACACACTTGAGAGGAACAGTTCTCAGAATAACCACTAGAGTACAGTGGACGCACTGCAGAACACACACACACACACACACACCCCTACAGACCAGCTCAGAGAGATCGATGTCACTGCTTCCCCTGGCAAAACTAATGGTTAAACAAAATGCTATCAGAAGAGAAAAACAAGATGTTTTAGCGGTGTTTTAAATGACTGGTATTTAACTTCTACAATCTGAAGACCCCTGTGGGACCCATATTATCTTTTTGTTTCTCTCTCGCTGTAATCCTCGCCAGTAGTGTCCATCCTTTTTCTTAAGTTCCCTCCTGTTGAAGTTCACGTTCAACAACCTATGACATCATGTCTGGTTGCTGACGGCAACCAGACAGTCGGGACGTGACACACACACACACACACACTCTCTCTCTCTCTCTCTCTCTCCTCAGTAAGTCAGACTTTCTCTCTTGCATAGATCTGCAAGTTTAAAGCACTTTGAACACATGTGAACTCGATCACTGTCAGTCCATCACAGCACATCCATCTGCAATATGTAAAAACTGTATTACTCGCCGGTCAGTAAGTTAAAAATGTAAAAAGTTAGTAAGAACGACAGTATGGATGGCCCACACTAGAGCCCAACCGATAAAGGATTTTGAAGGCCGATATCGATACAAATATTTGTTGACTTTGAAATTAGTTATTTGTAGTTATGTATGAGTTGTAACTAAAATTATACGATAATGCATTTTAAAAAGAAACCGGTTTCTTTTATTGTCCCAACAGAACAGACTGATGATAGTGGCATTAGCTAGCTTTGTGGTTAGCTAGTCTATGATGAGCCATAATTTAGCAATGGATTACATCATAGTGCAAATTGTAAAACATACATTTTCAATAAAACAGGCCAGGGAGAGATGATACGTCTCATTGCTATAACTGTCACGCGCTATTAAAGAAATACTTCAGTCACATTGTCAAAAGTTAAAAGGACAATCAGTCAACTACACTGTAACAACGTAACGTAACTATTGCTAGCTAATTCCGCTTCACTCTCGGCTTATTTAACAGCAGCGAAACTGGACATGATAGTCACTAATTCTGTCATGCTTATTTGAGTTAAGAGAACTGATGGAGATGTTCTTTTAATTGTTATGTATGTCTCGTGACCAACTCAACGAATGTTGCCAACAGGGACGGTGTAGAGTGCCCTCTGGTGGACCAACTATACAACTCCAACACTCATGACATGCTTCAAGCGTGTTTCGTCCGTTTTTATTTTATTTTTGAAATATTCATTTATCGGCCATTATAACTGCCAATACCGATAGTTTGGAAAATGCCTAATATCGGCCGATAATATTGGCCTGAATATATTTTAAAATGTAATTCATTCCTGTGATGCAAAGCTGAATTTTCAGCATCATTACTCCAGTCTTCAATGTCACATGATCCTTCAGAAATCACTCTAATATGATGATTTGATGCTCATAAAACATGAGTTATTATTATCATTTTTTTTCTGGATTCTTTGATTGAGCACAGGAATCAATGACATTTTACAATGCATTCAAACATTTAGTTTAAATATTAATAATATTTCACAATATTACAGTTTTTCCGGTTGATCACATAAATGCAGTCTTGGTGAGCAGAAGAAAAAAAAACATTAAAACACCAAAGTTTTGAACGGTACTGTGTTTAAAATCTTAATAAAAGAATTGCAAAATAGACTCTCACTGCTGGTAAATGTTTTCAATTCGCCCACCATCAACAGATGAAGTCAAAAGTATGTTTTGGACCCTGCAAGTGTGGAAATGTGCATGCAGGACTCACAATACAAAGAAGATGACAATATAACATCATACTCACTTACATAATAAATCTGATGAATCATAAGACATTTGGTTTTGGAGTCAGTGAGGAGTAGGAGGGGGAAACGATTGTTTCCATGTGTTTGGTCTCATTGGTAGTGCTTGTGGTTTTTGTAGCTGGTGCGAGTGGGAACACGGCCACAAAATCCATTTGACATTAGCGGCGTGTCCCCCAGAGAGCCGCTGACTGCTACCAACACACGCACTTAACAGCGCTCAGACTCGCTGATCAAAAACACATGATTGATGGATGGATAGACTGAAGAGCCTGCTATTTTCAATTTAAAGGAATATCCTGGGCTCTTTTCAACCCAATGCCTATGCACCGCATCTTTAACATGGTGCTGATTAACACAAACCCATCTCTCAGTATGCATAAACAAACAGGACATGCGTTTACAGTAAATACACTTTCATTAGAAGCCTGAGGGTTAAAACGCAGAAACGTGCGTGTGTTCGGATGAAATCAAAATGGACAAAATTGAAAGTGTATTTACTGTAAACATGTTTATACACACACACTGTCTATGGTGGGCTAATCAACAGCATTACACACATGTCCCCAAGTCTGCGTGTGTGCATGTACCTGAGTCTGCTGTGGGATGTTCAGAAAGTTGTTGTCCCGTGATCCGATGCCGACAAACCTGTTGGAAGCTGTGGAGCCTGGCGCTGGGTATGCTGCTGGGACACACACACGTCTGTCAGCATTCACAGCTGTGATTTACGTGCTTGTATTGTGAACATTTCAAGCTCATTTTTTTTTTAATTACTGGCACAAAAACGCTAAATTAACATGTGGCTTGAAGTGTGCACTGTTGGCACTATATGGAATTGCAATCTGTTTGTTTGAGTGAACCAAGTCATACTATATTCCTGCAATACCGGAGGCTAGGACCGCAGTTCTAGGACCCTGGTTTGTACAAATAAACACACCAGTATGTAGACAACCAGTTTTACCAATTAGTGCACTTTGTTAAGTCGGTCACACACCAGCTGTGGTTAATGAAAAGTAAAATATCTTGCTTCTGTGCTGAAAAATAACTTATCCATCAAAACTGAATTTAAAACCTGAATATAGGGCCTTCTATATTGAGACAAGTTAGGTTAAATATTTCAGGAGGGTTATCAACGGTTGTGTTTAGGGTTGGTTAAGACAATATATCAACAACTCCTTCCTGAAAATGAATAATACAAATACAGAATTGAATTGTAAGTGCTCTAAAATAGTATAAACTGCTAATACATATAAAAGAAAGGGAAAAAATGGTCCTAGAAATGCGGTCCCACTCGATTCAACGAGTCAAGGTTTTGCTGGTTAGCACCGCCAGTTTGCCTTCTGCTGCCTTTAATGACACAGCTCAGGATGGTCAATACTGAAGGGCTTGGCTCTGAGAACCCATAATCAAACATAAGCAAGCACACCAGCCAAAAACCTGCCACTGAGATGAATGGGAATGCTAATGGACAGATTTCTCTAGGTATTATAGTCCTTGGACCAATGGCAGACAGGGTGAGTGCTTGAAATATTTAGGGGTTTTTTTTGCTGCTGGTTGTGCAGAAATCGTATTTTTAACAGTAATAAATGCTACACTACTTGAATGCGAAACAATATATATATATATATATTTCTGTTGAAAAACACCAAAATTTAAATTTCAAATATTCATTGGGCTTTCACATTCAAATTTAAACTTCACGCCAGTTGTGTGAAGTAGGAGGGAGGATTTAAATGGAGAAAATTATAAACTTTCAGTTTAAAATTCAAATTCAAACATTCTAAAATTCACTTTCAAAATTCAAATTTCAAATTCATGGCAGGTGTGTGAAGTAGCGGGGATGATTTAAATAAAAAAAAAAATACAAACTTTCAGTTTAAAATTCAAATTCAAACATTCCAAAAATTCACTTTCAAAATTCAAATTTCAAATTCACTGCAGGTGTGTGAAATAGGAGGGAGGATTTAAATGGAAAAAAATACAAACTTTCAGTTTAAAATTCAAATTTAAACATTCCAAAAATTCACTTTCAAAATTCAAATTTCAAATTCACGGCAGGTGTGTGAAATAGGAGGGAGGATTTAAATGGAAAAATACTAATTTTCAGTTTAAAATTCAAATCCAAACATTCTAAAATTCACTTCCAAATTCAAATTCAGGGCTGTAGTGTAAAATGGGTAGGATGATTTGAATGGTTGAAAACAGCAAAATCTAAATGATTTTGATTTTTTTTTTTTAATTCACTTTAAAATTCAAATTTCAAATTCAGGGCAGTTGTGCGGAGTGGACTCCATGAAATAGGAGGTGTTTATCTAACTGAGCGTGTTTGCAAGTATGTGAATGTGTGTGTGTTTGTGTGTGAGTGATTGTTGGATACTAAAATATGACTGGAAAAGGCTGTTGTGTGTAAAAGCACCGAAAGATGGAAGGTAAAAAAAAGAAATAAATAAATGGAGGGATACGACAGGTTGAGACCGATACACCATTCCATAGATATGAAATGAACGAATGAGAAAACACAGTAAGAAAAAGAACATTGATGTGTGAGAAGAAAAAAAAAAGAAAGAAGGGATGGTCTTCTGAAAGGTTTGCTCGACCAGGCTCCTCCTGTTGCCCACCCGCCCTGCTGACAGCACGCGACACACACACATCCCAAGCAAAGACCCACAACCCAGTGCCGCCCGCTCTCACACACTGCCAGACACATCACAAATCCCTTCACCTGCACGTCTACACACATTTCCTTTTTGTATTTAGTGTCAATGGAAAGGCGCTTAATGTGGGGCGTCATTTTTTTGTTTGTTTGTTTGTTTGGAGTCCATGCCAGCTGCCCTGAATTTGATCTCTTGAAGGAAGAAAAGAAAGAAAGAAAAATGAAAAGTGAGGGCGATGAGGAGGGAGGCTGATCTATGGGAATGATTGGCTGGGTTTTTTTTGTTGCTTTTTTTCAGCCAATGAGAGGCAGCAAAGTGTCTCCATCCCCATTCGATTGCAAAAGTCCGTGACTGGTTGCAATCGGATAAATAAATGAAAAGCAGGATGAAAAGGGAATTGAACGAGGAAAATGAACAAAGGAAAAAGTCAGATGGAGAAGAGCAGGGCATCTAAAGCCAGAAATATACTTTACGCAAGTATGCAAATACAGACAGGAATGCTTATTATAATTAATATTTTGCATTGTTTACATTTACATTAGTTTATATTTAGGGAATGGGTGTGTGTGCACTTTTCGAATGAGAGACTAAATGTCTTTGTATAACTACAATGACAATAAACGTATTCAATTCAAATGCATATTAGTGTGTGTTATTGTTGCGTTAAGATTTCAGTACTCAAGGGGGCGCTAGAGTTTCCTTAAAATATCTGTACCACTAAACCTGCTATTTTATTATCCAGATAGCTAGATAAAAGTAAACAGTTTAACTAACGTTTAGAGAAAACGGACGATATTTTAAGCAAATGCTACCTCGTAGCGACAGGCGTAGCTAGAACTGTCGGTGTACTTGCGTAAGGTATTTTTCGGGCCTATTAGTCAAAAATCGTGGCCTTATCACTCAAAGAGTTGATGAGTTGTTTTTAGCGCGGCGGTAATGGGGCGATTTCAAGGGCTCTGGTGGGTCTGGTGCTTGAGCGGACACTTACAGGGCGAGGCCGGGGAGCCGACTCCGCTCTCGGGGTGTGTGTGGCTGGATTTGTGCTCGGGCAGGGGGAGGGGCATCGGCACCGGCCGCGCTACCGGAGGAGGAGGAGGTGGCAGTAAGAAGGAGCCGGGCAGTTTGTTCTGACCGCTCCCGTTATGCTGCAGATACACACACACACACACACACACATACAGATGGTGAGGGGGTGAAAGAGGCACACACACACACACATAGATAGATACAGAAATGTGGAGGCGTGCAATCACAAAAGGTGAGATTGGAATGTTACAAACGTACAGACATTGAAAACTTAATAAACATACACACAGTTATTAAAGTGTCGTCATCAAATTTTGGTTCGGATCAGTTTTGAAAGAGGCAAAAATCTTAAGGGTAAGTCGATTTCACAAACTGACTTTTGGCTAAAATCCTTTCAAATTATCATTTGCCCTCTCACAATTTTGAGTCATGTTACTGCATTTTATTTATAAAACAATTGCAATTCTCTCCAATCAACAAAAGACATACATTAAATGCTGTATTATTTGTATTATATGCTTGAATTATTATTTTTATGTAATTATTATTATATTGTAAATTAAACATTTATTTTCTATAGTTCATACAATAAAAGTGAATGGAGCTCCGAAAAGGACATCATAACGGTAGTTCATTTGACATGAGCACTATATTTCAATACAACAGTTTTGTGTGAGGAACAGATTGAAATTTCAGTGTTTACTCAAAGGAAATGTGTACCTGCGTTTAATCAAAACATAATTATGTTTACAGACAACTTCAATTTCATTCTTTTCCTAACACAAATTATGCTATGACTTGAGATACAATGCACAAGTTAAATGGACTATATTTATTTTAAATTAATTTCTTCCCTTGTTTTAGGGAAATATAACTTTTTTTAAGCTTGGCATTGGTGCAAAGAAAATAGATGCTAAATGAACAGATATGTGATGAACCTTTAATTTAACATGCAATCATTGCTCAGCACGACCATATCTGTTTTGAAAAATAGATTTCAGTGTTTCGTGACACTTTATAAGGATGAGAGGATGAAATCAAACTCAAAACATGAAAAACGGAGACTGTCGAGTGTTAGATAATGGAGAGAAAGAGAAAGGAAGGAGAGAGAAAGAGAGAGGGACTTTAGCAGAGATGTGTGTCAGTGTGTGTGTGTGTGTGTGTCATGTCCACTGGTGCTGTTTGAATCGTGATGATGATGATGTGTGTGTGTGTGTGTTACCTGTGCCCCCGGCTGCCCCGAGCCGTCAGCACAGACGAACTGGACGAACTCTTTGAGCGGGTCCTGATGGTGGTGATAGCGGATGGTGGGGTGGGTGAAATATGGACTGGACTGCTGGATGATGGAGGGAGCAGGGAAATGAAGGGCAGAGGCTGAGGCACGCGGACTCCCTGAGAAAGAGAGAGAGGAAGAGTGAGCGATTCATGCGCGAGATACACAGCGCAATGGAATATTAGCATTTGTGTATGTGTGTGTGTGTGTTCATATAAACCTAAATTCATCATCATCCCTCTAAAATAATGTCCTTTCCTTAAAGGAAAAGCTCACCTAAAAATGTACATTTTGAATTTATTCACCCACATGAAACACTAAAGGAGACCTAAAGCAGAATGTTCACGCTGATTTATTTAATCACAAATGGTGCCTTAAAGGAGTAGTTCACTTTTTAAAAAAAAAAAACTTTTGCTGATAATTCACATCCAAGATGTCCATGTCTTTCTTTCTTCAGTCGAAAAGAAATGAAGGTTTTTGATGAAAACATTCCAGGATTTTTCTCCATATAATGGACTTCAATGGGAACCAAACGGTTCAAGGTCCAAAAGACAGTTTCAGTGCAAACTGTTCAAAGGGCTTTAACCGATTCCAGGCGATGAATAAGGGTCTTATCAAGCGAAATGATCGCTCATTTAAAAAAAAAAATAATAAAAAATAAAAACTTGCTCTGTTCTGTGATGCGAATTTGTGACTCTCCTGTTCAAACTCGTCCATCAAAATGAACGAATCTTTTTTCGAGTCATTTGGTTGATTCAATGGACAAAATGAACAAATTGACTCGGAAAAAGATTTGTTCATTTTGATGAACGAGTTCGAACAGGAGAGTCACGAATGCGCATCACAGAACAGAGCAAGGCGACCATTTGTGCTTATAAAACTTAAATCTTTTCGTCAAAAACCTTCATTTCTTTTCGACTGAAGAGAGAAAGACATGGACATCTTTGATGACATGAGGGCGAGTAAATTATCAGCAAAAGTTTTTTTTAAAAGTGAACTACTCCTTTAAGACCAAGTAAGACAAAGATTCTCAGTAAATTACTTGAAATCGATGGAGATATCGTATGCTACCATTCAAAAAGTTTGGGGATACAAATGTTTTTAGATCCTTTAAACGAAGTATTTTTTGCTCATTAAGGCTGCATTGATTTTGATCAAAGATCAAAAAAATGTAAATATTATTACAATTTAAAATAACTGATTTCTATTTAAAAATGTTGTAAGATGTAATTTATTCCTGTGATCAAAGCTGAATTTTCAGCATCATTACTCCAGTCTTCAGTGTCACATGACCCTTCAGAAATCACTCTAATATGAGGATTTGATGCTCAAGAAACATTTCATATTGTTTTCGATGTTCTCTTTTTTGTGGACACTTTTTTTCAGGATAGTTTGATGAATGCAAAGTTCAAACGAAGCATTTATTTGAGATATTAATCATTTATAAATGTCTTTACGGTCACTCTCACCCATTTTAATGCATCCTGGCTGAATAAAGAAATAAAGCAAATAAGTTATATAGACTAAATTAACAGTGTTAAGTGGAAAAGAGCAGCATGGACATTCTGAGAAACATCTCTTTTTTCTTCATCCACATAAGAAAATAAGACATGGGGATGAGTAAATGTTGACAGAAATTCATTGTTGAATATACTGTTTTTTTAAATGCCATTTTCACTATCCTCTCTTTCCTCTTTTTTGTCTATCTCTAACTCCCTCTTTTTCTTCAGTCTTTCATTTTGTTGGTGCTTCTTAATCTCATTAGGTACTGGGCAGGAGCCAGGCGCTATGGGGTGCCAACACACATACACACACACTCATAAAAGCCCTCACACACACACACACACACACAAACAAAAACGGTATCTTCTCAATCTCCAAAGAGTTATTCATCACTCACAAAAGCAAACCACAGTATCTCTTTCATAACAGCGGCCAACATCCATCCATAACACACACACAAACGCATTAGAAACGGCAGCGAGACGCTCTCTCTCGTACGCACGCATTACCCTCTTCGCCCGGCCTAACGCAAACCTTGCTTTTTCCACTGTCTCGACTCTGCATAAACACTCTAACCAGAAGCGTCTGCCGTAGAAAAACTTCCATAATCACACGCACGTATAATCCATTTAAAGCTGGCGCTCTCTGTCCCGCTGACCTTTACTTGATTAGGCCTCGCCGGCTGCAGTCGGACCCGAACGGATAGGAATTCTGCGATTTCCCAGGGCCATCAGATGGGATTAAACATCCGGGACGTCAGGGACAACACGGGAGGGAAGCTTTGAATCGTTCTCCTTTGGGTGGGGATGGAGACGTTTCGAGTGGCCTGTGAGAGCGCAGTCTTAATGCCTCTGAATATCATCGTTTTACTGACGGGATTTTCATGGCGTTTCGAACACGCCTGCCAAGAAGAGCCCCGATAAGAGCATCATCCCCCGCATACACACACTCCCCTTCACATTCTTTCCTGTGCCAATATGAATGACAGCATGCCTGTATAACAAGCAACATGCTCACTGGCTAATTTTAAAAACGCAGAGAGCGAAACGCACAGTTTTTATACGATTCTCTTGGTCACGCATCTGTTACGCATTGGGAAGCTTTCTAAACATTCCCTCCCGTTTGCGTCTCCGTCCCTCTCCTTCTCTTTTCTTCCGCCTCAAAATAGTCTCTGGTGAGTCACAAGGAAGTTGAAATGAGAACAAAATCAGCGAATCAAGAACTCTTGACATTCTATTCTTTAATGATTGAATGAGCACCAATCGTCGCAAAGATATGTACTAACGTCTTGGAAATTTTGCATTGAATCAAACATTTTCAGGATGGATTCTGGTTCTGGTTGGATTTTTTTTAGTAAATTTGGAGTAAAAAAAAAACATTTTTTCCTGCATTTACTGCCCTCAGGAGCCTGTTGCCAAATTACAAGATACGATTTTAACTAGGGCTGTCAAACCATTAATCGTGATTAATCGCATCCAAAATAAAAGTTTGTGTTTACGTAACATATGTGGGTGCAATGTGTATAATTATTTTATAAATATATATAAAAAAACACACACATGCTTATATATAGGCCTATTTAAGAAAAAAATATAATTTATATATAAAATATGTATATTTATATCATCTAAATTATATATAAATCTATATACATGAAAATATTTCTTAAATATATACAAGCATGTGTGTGTATTTACACATATAAAATAATTATTAATAATTATTTAATTATTAAAAATTATTAATGATTAATCGCATCCAAAATAAAAGTTTACATAATATATGTCAGTGCACTGTGTATTATATTTTATATGTATAAATACACACACATGCTTGTATATATTTAAGAAATATTTTCATGTATATAGATTTATATATAATTTATATTATATAAATATAAATATTTTCTATATAAATTATATTTTTTTCTTAAATATATACAAGCATGTGTGTGTATTTATACATATAAAATAATTATACAGTGCACTGACATATATTATGTAAACTTTTATTTTGGATGCGATTAATCGCGATTAATCATTTGACAGCCCTAATTTTAACAGAACAGACATAACACATTAATTCTTGCAAAAGACTTGAGTTTATACTTGTATGAAACAAAAAACGGTCTTACAAGCCTTCAGTACAATGTAACCCAGCATTCTTGGACGAAAGGAATAACCTGCAATTCAGCAAGCATGTCTAACCGCTAGATTCATACGTATTTTTGGTTTACTAAAAAAAAATCGACTCATAAGTGTCATTTGTTTGGACTACAAAGTTCATGTTGTATTTTTAGTACTGTATATTTTAGTAGCGGTGCATACAGATCAATAAACGGTGTGGGAAACACTGTCAGAGTATTTAAGTACGGTTTTGTCCACAAAATGTCTGCTAAACAGAACCGAAATTCATTCAAATCCGACAAGAATCGACACTTGGCCCCAAGCTAAAGTTTTAAACTCCACTGTATGTGAGATTTCACACAACATCTTTCTACATTATTTGTTTATAATAAAACGTAATAAAATGTAGGTCACACATTTAAAGAAACCTGAGGACATTTCCACCAAACACACTTGAAAAATGGAGGTAAAGCTGTGGATGAAATGATGATGAGGGAAGAGAGGAAAAGATGGAGAGCAAGAGGGTACGTAGATGGATGGTGTCGTTCATGAACTGTGGCAGCTCCTCACTCTCTCTGTCTCTCTGCCCAGCCAATCAGAGGTCTCCATCAATAACTCGCCACTGTTTAGAGCCAATCAAATGCCACTGAGGGCAATTTTGGACTAGTGTGGTGCCATGACAGGACTTTTGGACAAATCAGAAGCCTACGCTGCAATCTATTACTTTAAATCCCTCCTTTCCCCCTCCATTCTCTCTGTCTCTCTCTCTCTCTCTCTCTCCCTGCTGGAGTGTGTCTGTCTCACCTGGTCTCACGCCTGCCAGCATGGGCAGCGGGTGGTGTGTGAAGGCCATTCGGGGGGACCTCGTCTGTGCTGACAGGGCGCTGAAATCGAATTTCCCCGCTGGCTTCTTTAGAGACCCAGGAGAGGACAACCCTGCCAGAAACCACACGTCAACAACAACAACAGCAGCAGGGCACAGCACACACCAATCAAACACTCGCTGACTAGCTCAACTAACTTGCATGATCATTTTTGGGTTTAGAAGGGAGGGGACTTATTTATGACAAACTTAATGAGCATGTTCACTTGTTTTCGAGGCAATCGTCTCTGTCTTTTCATTTTAATACCAGCAATGCTGACGAACGGGTCAAATCAAAATGGGCGGTATGACCAAAAACTTTCATTAAGTTGGCTACGGTGGCCCAGTGGTGTACAACACAAGAACTCAAATCTAAACTCCCTGAAGCCCTAAACTCAATTAATCTATCTATCTATCTATCTATCTATCTATCTATCTATCTATCTATCTATCTATCTATCTATCTATCTATCTATCTATCTATCTACTTTTCTTTCTAACTAATCTATCTTTTTCTTTCTAAGTAATCTATCTTTCTTTCTTTCTAAAAATCTATCTTTCTAAATAATCTATCTTTCTAACTAATCTATCTTTCTTTCTTTCTTTCTAACTAATCTATCTTTTTTCTAACTAATCTATCTTTCTTTCTAACTTTCTTTCTTTCTAGCTAATCTATCTTTTTTCTTTCTAACTAATCTCTTTCTTTCTTTCTTTCTTTCTTTCTTTCTAAGTAATCTATCTTTCTTTCTTTCTAAAAATCTATCTTTCTTTCTAACTAATCTATCTTTCTTTCTTTCTAACTAATCTATCTTTCTTTCAAACAAATCTATCTTTATTTCTAACTAATCTATCTTTCTTTTTAATTAATCTATTTTTCTTTCTAAGTAATCTATCTATCTTTCTTTCTAACAAATCTATCTTTCTTTCTAACTAATCTATCTTTCTAACTAATCTTTCTTTCTTTCTTTCTAACTAATCTATCTTTCTTTCAAACAAATCTATCTTTATTTCTAACTAATCTATCTTTCTTTTTAATTAATCTATATTTTTCTTTCTAACTAATCTATCTTTCTTTCTAACCAATCGTTTTCTTTCTTTCTAACTAATCCATCTATCAATCTTCAAACTACTTTAAACTTCTTCAAACTCTCTGGTCCGGCTTTCTCAAGCCAACTTAAAGTTTGTCTCATCAAACTTTTTTTTCCTAGTTAAAAAAGCCATTTTACATTAACGTAACACAATTTTTACTAGAATTTTACCAATTTTGATTCTATTTGAATAACTATTTGGTACTGCCTGTTATTGGATAATCTAGTAATCTAAATAAAATATACTACTTTTTATATTGATTTGGAACTTGATCAATGAAGTTGTAATATTTTGTAATATCATTATGTTTTTAATATAAAATGAACGATATATTTTATCAGTGAAACACTTGAGGTAAAAGACTTAAAAAATGCATAATTGATATTATAAAAATGATAGTTCTGATTCTAAAATCTGGATGAGCCACACTGTAAAATATACAAAATGCACACACATGAACAAGTTTCGAAGTTGCTTTCCGGCCAAGAACAACTAAATTCAGCTTCACTACTCCTTTAAAAAAAAACAAGTTACTCCTCGTCTTGGCTTGTTTGGTTCGCGTCCTGCTTTGTATTTTCACATTCCTCCACGTTTCTTTGCCGCCCTTAATGTGTAAATAACGTAAAGCAGTCCTGTCCTCAAATAGCCAAGCAAATATAGCCTGTAGCAGTATAAACGTTGACACATTTCTACCTTCGCACAATGTATATAGCGTCAAACCAACCAACCATAGTCTTCTGTAAGTGTTCCTTAACTATTAAATTAGCAACACCTCAACTGGTTCAATCCATCACCAGAAAGATGAAAGAGAGATGAAAATAACATGAAAAGGTGAGAAATAGCAGGAGAAAGTGATAACAGAACAGGGATGGCTCATAATTGGAAGATACCCAAAGAACACACACACACACACAGTCCTCCTGGCACACATTGCTCACCGTTACTCATACACACAGATTTGAACTTCACTTCAGTTTGATGCTATTTTTTCCTCTCTACATTACAAGGCATTAAATCCCATTTCAGCTTAATTCCCCTTTCTCAGTGCACTTTTGAGTGCGTTTGTTCTCGCATGCGTGTATGCGTGTGTGCGCCAGAGAGAACACCCGTGTGTGTGTGGGAGTGTGCAAATGCGTGTGAAAGTGTTAAGTCTGTATATGTATATTTATCACAAAATGTGTACACATGCACACAACACACTCTCGCCACCTGGTTCTTTTGAAATAAAAATTTGATGCACTATAAAACAATATTCCAAGCTAAAAACGTATACAAAAAATAAGGCTGGCTTCAGTTTTTTTCTCTCCCAGTTTTAAGCTTACAATTAATCAAATTAATAAACTGAAATGAATGGTGCACTATGTTGAAAACAGTGCTTTTTCATATTTTTGTGGAAACGCGGGATACATTCGTATCAGGATTGTTTGTTGAATAGAAAGTCTAAAATTCAGCATTTGTTTGAAATGGAACAATTTTGTGACATTATGAAGGTTTTAATGTCACTTTTGGTTGATTTAATGCATCCTTGCTGAATTAAAATAATAATTTAGTTAATTTCTTTGCATATAATTAAATAATCTTACTGACCACCTACTTTTGAATGGTAGTAGATTATGACATCCAGACCTTGACTGGCTAACATGGTCAAAGAGAGGCTAAAAAAATATTGTGTAAAACTAAAACTATTTTAGTGCATGAAACCTTTGTTAACATTATAAAAGGGAAAATGCATTGAGTGAAAGGCATTGCTATCTGATTATGACATTCACACACAAACGCAGAGCAGATGTCTCCCACTACTGTAGATACACGGAAGAGCCATCTGGGACCAGAACACAGACTGAGTGTGTGTGTGTGTGTGTGGTTAATGCATGGACAGAAGATGCACCTGTGTTGTGCATATTTCTCAGTGTTTGTTTGTGTGTTGCTCTGACTTCGACTGTCCCATCTGGGTTCTTCCAATGCTACTTTGCTGATTGTGACTATGGCATTCATTTAATTTATTGTCTTAGGTACCCCCAAAGCCCAGTAAGGTTGAAGCACCCTTCATCAACACTAAACCTCTCATATTATACTGCATAACATCGGACTTTATCATTAAAAGTGACTTTAAAAACAGACTAACCAAGCAGCTCTTTAGTAGACACCTGATGCACTATCCTGACCTGTCTTCTCCCACTGCGTGTGTACATGTGCAAGTGTGTGTGGTGTGTGTGTGTGTTCTAACCATGGTATGGAAACTGCACGCCATCATTCTCATGTTTTATCTTCCTCTCTTGAACACTCGTCAAATGGTGCTGTACTGCAACTGGAGAAGGGAATTGTTAACAGGAAAGAAGGTCACGAAGGTCATGGTGTGTTTAATGCCTTTTCCACCGACATGATGCCGGTGCCCAATCCGGCCTCAGTCCACACATTTCCACTCAACTCAAAAACCGTCTTGTTCTTCGGGACTTGCCCCTTGATTGTCTTAAAACACAAACTGCTATGATGTCAGTGGCTGACATCACGGTTCTCAGCATCATGCAATAATTTTCATGACATTTGGTTCCAATCACAGAAGCCATGTTTCCATCGACACGTTTTTGAATGAAAAATACCTTATGGAAACAGTAAAATTATGAAATTTCATGAATATCGACTCAAATGAAATACGTTCGATCGATATACGGCTAATGCGATAAAAGCTGATGGAAACGTTATTTGCTAAATAAATAATGAATTGCGATTAAGTTTTAGGCCCTTTTATGGTTGCAACACGCCAGAAGACGAGTTCATTTCCGGCCAGTCCCACTCTGTTTGCGCACACATGGTGGATGTCAACAAAGACAGATGTAATTGGACAAAGTAAAAAAAAAATGCTTCAACCAAAGGGTTTCCATCGGGCATTGACGTGCATCGGCATCATCATAGCAATTTTTATAGCGTATGTATAGATAATGTATAGCGAGGCTGTTGTTATAGCGAATACAACCCCTTCAAGCTAACAACCGCCTCATTATCACTCACTTATGTTGCTATCAGCTGGCACTTAAGCATTATTAGGCTACAACTTGTGAAATATTGATCATTTGTTGGTAGATGGCGCGATCCGTTTTGTCTAACAAAACTTGTTTGCTTGAATGTTGTTCGATTCAGTGCGAAAACTAATGGAAAAAACTTAAAATGTCTCAAATCAATTTGATCGCAAAACAGCATGTGACGTCACTACGAACATGTTTTTATTCGCTTTAAAGCCGTTGGATGGAAACACACTTTCACCAGCTTTATTCGCATGTGTTTTTTTAACCGAACTTCAGATAATTCGATTGACAAGTGGATGGAAACATGGCTAGAGTTTCTACAATCAATGTTAGGCTGGCAGCATTAACTTCTTAGACTAGTTAGACTTCCTTTTTAAAACAGTGACATAAAAAGGAAGCTAGTCTAATTTAAAGTACCATAACTAATTGCTAGTTGGTTGGACTAGTTCTTAAGACACAGTCTTAACTTAGCGGCTATGTCTATGCAACTGTTCTCATACTTTTATTTCCTGTAACAAGAAGCTACAAGAGTTTATGTTAAAATTAAACGTAAGACACAGTGTTACCAAAAACACAAATAATAACCAGATTTTATGCATAAAGGGGCAGTTTTAATTATAAACAAGTATGAAATACAAAGGGATACTTAATTGGACTATTTCCAACAAATTACAAAAATCATAAAGTAAACACTATCCATCAAATGTAGATCATAATCAATCTAGCCAAATTTGTTTAGCTTAGTGTGATTATTATTAAAATAATCTGTATCACATTTCCTGTTTTTCAATCTCCAAATTTAAATCATAATGGTTTTCACAGGAATTTGCATATTTACGTCACTCGCCCGTGCGTGTGTCTTGTAAAATCAGTAAATAGAGTTAATGAATGTTTCATGAGCAGTATGATAACTATATTCATCCGCAAAGTCATGCACAACCAAAGTAACTGTTCTTCTGCAAAATGCATGCAATTAACCGCAAGAAGGACAAAAGTTACATAGCGCACCTTTCATTTGAGATTAATTATACTTAATCTGACTGATTTTAGGACATTTTAATAGTTGTTAAAAGGATAGTTCACCCAAAACTGAAAATAAGCCCATGATTTACTCACCCTCAAGCAGTGTTGGGTGTAACTAATTACTAAGTAATTAGTTACTGTAATTTAATTACTTTTCCCTTGAAAATGTACAGTAAGGGATTACTGTAGTTGAGGTAAATAAATACTGTGTATAGATCAATCCGATCTCACAGTGATTCGTATGCATTTTATGAGGTGTCTAAATTGTACGACCGCACTCGTACAAATTCGTGTGTGAATTCGTACGTAATTATTGTAAAATATGTATGAAAAAAGTGTGAAAAGTCATGAGATCAGACATAAAACAATAGTGGGTTTAACATCAAAATGTAATGTCTGATGTTAAAAAGTATGTTTCTCCTTCTCTACCGTGGTCAGTTTAAGGATAATTCATGCAATTTTATAGTATTTATTTGAAAGAATTAAAACAAGATTCATGTATATTCTAGTATTATTCAGCTGGTTGAGATTGAAATGGGATTTTGAAAGTAATTAGTAATTAAAAGTAATTAAAAACATTTTAGAGAGCGTAATTTATACAGTAATCTAATTACATTGTTGAAGAGGTAATTAGTAATTAATTACTTTTTTAGAGTAACTTACCCAACACTGCCCTCAAGTCATCCTAGGTGTGCATGCAGGATCCTGTCATGAACACTTTTTGTAGCATTTGAAATCTATTTGTAGGCAGTTTATGTTGTACATTAGTAATTGAAATCTTTGTTCGGCTTTCAAGTTGGTGGAAATGTGGGCTGGTGCTCAAAGGTGACTGCACCGTTTTCGCCAAGACCAGACTCAGGCATCAGCACCGTATGTGTGTGTAAATGCGATGCTCACCTGCATCGACGTCATTAGGCCAGCCACTGGACTGAGAGCTGGTGCCGGCCGGAGAACGACTGGAGTAGAAGACATCATCAACGGGACTCTCCATCTCACTGTCATCTATAGACTTGCGCTTATTAGAGCTGCAGAGAGAGAAAGGCCGAGCGAGGGGTTATTAGATGCCCCTGTGATAGATTCCTGTAGACAGGCAGAGAGAAACACAGAAAAAGGTGCAGAGATACAGTGACAGACTGAGTACCTCCGAGGAAGACTGGCGTACAGCTCCACCTCAGACCTACAGCGCAAGAAGAACGACAGACAAGGGGGAAAACAGAAGGAAAGAAAAAAAGGAGAGCAAGACCGATCAAATTTCCACTGAAGAGAGGCACAAACAGCAGGTATATGAGTGTGTGAGTGTGTGTGTGTGTTCACCTCGTGGATGGAGGGGAGGCAAGCGAACGTCTGCCGAGTGCTACTTGGTTGATATTGTAGTAACTGGGACTTTCCAGATCCGCAAGTGAGAAATTGGGACCTGATGCCGTTGCAACTGGGGCTGCAGAAGAGATGAAAATGTTGAGACAAAAAATCTGAAATGTAAAACTTAGAAATCGAGCTTGTAACGCCGTGTCCAAACTCTGAATAACATGGGGAAGACCCCTTTTAATCGCGTGCCAAGGCTCGTGTAGTTAGGACACGGTGTAAGATGCATTTCTTACATGATTTCCTATAGGATTTTTATGTTTTTTGCAGACCCCATTGCACTCTCAGAAAAAAAGGTACAAAAGCTGTCATGGGGCGGTACCCCAAAAGATATATCTTTGCCTTTTTTACCCTTAAATGGTGCATTTTAGTACTTTTGGAAAGGATAATGTCCCAGTAACAGCAAGGTTTAGTATCATTAACTAAAACTAAAAAAATGTGTTACTTGAAATAATATAAAACACATACTGAAATGTAATATATTAAATATAAAAACTTAAAAATATATTTATCATACATAATTTTTAACATAATACATTTTCCCCCTAGTATTTTGTTTTGACGTATTCTTAATTAAAACACCGAAACTCTAAGACTAATTAACCGTACGAATTACCATTACAAAATTAGAAATTGGATCAGACATAATAACTTCAGTGAGCAGGTGATTCATCTCAAGACGTTATCTGATTGATTAATCATCAAGTTATTCATGGATTGAGCAACAACATTTAGCTAAATACAGTGTTTGTTGCCGTGGCTCTGCAGATTTAAAGGGATAGTTTGCTTTGAAATTAATCATTGATATGTTTTAGCTTACATCAAGGGAATCCAAGATGTTGGTGTCTTTGTTTCCACAGTATTTTCAATTTTGATATTTTTAGGTCAAACCGTTTGTGTCAGTCATATAATGGAGGTCTATGGTCACCACCTCAAAGAGCATGCACAGAGAAGTCCAAATTAAACATGATTTAATGACTCGTAAATGTAAGTACACATTGATGGCCTAAGACACAAAATGAGCGGTTTGTGCGAGAAAACAAAAGGTGGTGGACCTACATTATATAACTGACAGACAAGAACGGTTTGAGCTAAAAATATCAAAATTAAAAATACTGCGGAAACAACGACACCTACATCTTGGATGCCCTTGAGGTAAGATAAAACATCCCAAAAATTAATTTCAAAGTGAACTATCCCTTTAAGAAAACACAGGTGGATGTTACAGCACTCACTCTGGGACACTCGTACCAACTCGGCTACGTTCCACACTCCCGAAGTCACGAAACAGTCCTGGAAACTCAGATGTCCTGCAGAGAGAGAAACACATGCCTCACTCAACTGGAACGTGAGCTCTGTGATAATAGCATGTTTAAAGAGGCCACTACCACATGCATCTATAGTGAAGTACTTTAAATTCAGCAATGTCAAAAGTTAGAGTAAAGACATTTATAATATCACACAAAAAATATATATATTTCAGTCTGTGTGATTTTTTCTCTCTCACCGTTTGGTGGGGGTTTGATGTCTGAGTCTCCTTGTTGACTGGAATTGTCTGATTGCCCAGATTCTGCATTGAGACAAAAAGAAAAAATGCATTTAAATGGCAGAAAATGCTTCATATTCAATCATCACTGCTCGAATCGGATAGTTCGGTGACGTTTAGGCGCTTGGACTCAACAACATCGTGAGCGGATATTTTCAAAACGAGGAACGAGTGTCTGAGTACATATGCATGCGAGTGTGTGTTATCAGCACAGTTTATGGCAGGCTGCGTGTGCATGTGTGCTTGTGGAGGTGTTTATCGGGCGGTTGTGGGTGATAAGGGAACACACTGGCCCATGCCAGCACGATTTGATGGAGTGTGTAGAGATTAGGACAAATACACCCGCACAAACAAAAGAACAGCAGACTCAACGGAGGAGAAAGAGCGAGACGATCTCTTTTCTCTCCATTTAGCATGTTGTCTCCATCTCTGTCTCTCTCTCTCTTTCTCTTTTTCTGGAGTTCTGGCAGCCATTTTAGTCTTTGGCAGCCATCTTAGTATTGGCGGTGTACACACATTCCTGCTAGCTGACGACACACACACACAAACATAGGCCCAAACCCATGAACACGGCTGGAAAATGTGTACAGTAGGTTGTGTTTCACATGATGGCATACAGCATCCCAGTCCTGTTTGAGCTCACGGATGCTCAGGCGGGAGGACGATACAATCAGCGACCGTCATTTTACACCGAGCATTTTAATTTGTTACGAATTTGAAAGAAACCCTGGCTGGTGTTACTTTTTTGTCATTTTGGAGCTTGAACACCTTCCACCATCAATACACGGAAAAGAGCAGCTGGGATGTTCTTCAAAATTTCACCTTTTGATACGCATGCACAGATCAGTGTGTACTGTTCATCTAGAGCAGCTTCATGAACCTTTTGTTTTTGGTGTGCTGTTGTATTGTGGGTGAAGTAAGACACGACAAAAGGAGGGAAAACACCTTTTAACTACTTTTTTTTAAGGTCTTCAACTTAACCCTCAAACCATATTCACTTAATTGCCCTTAATCCTGTAATTGTGGACACATGTTGGCACAGAGGACTCAGGTGTGATCCTAATTTTTATTTATTATAAATGTTATATCACTGTATTCGATAAAGTTTTGTCTATCAATTTATGGTATTTTTTTTTATTTTGGGGGTATTTTTGAATTTATTTCCTTCAAAAAGTACCATATTTTCTATGTAAATTATGCTTGTTTTTATGTTTTATTTAAAAAAAATTAACTACATTAAAATATCATTCCAATAAGTTCTTAGAGCTAAAACCTAAAGATGAAGTGACTGATTTTTGACCCAAATACAAGATTAAGGAGTTGTTTTTTTCACCCACTTAACATTGTAGAATTGAGTCAAACAAAATATTGTGTGTGTTCAGGAGGCAAACTTAGGAAAAGTAGCCAAGTCTTATACCGCTCAGATCAAGGGAAGTATTTTTTAAAAATAAATCAAAACCTTTTTTGCCCACATTTGTACAGAATACGGTTTTAGGGTTAAAAAAAATTGTCAGGTTTTGGTTCAAAATATGTTTGGGTTCAAATCTGAACCAAACATATATTTTTATTCAAAGATCAACAGTCTGTCACTGTAACAGTGCACAGGTTAAATCAGACCTTTCAGGCTATAGCCTAACGCTAATAATCCTTATGCCAAAATTATTATTAAATTAAGTTGTCAGTCATTAAATAGGAAAACTAAATAAATGTGTAAACATTTAAGTGTAAACCGACATAAAACAGTATTTTTTGCACAGACCAATCAATCACTCCACGTTCACACCAGAAGCAATTAGCGCGTCAAATTCGCACCTACCGCGTCTAGTTATACGTGTGAACACTTTGAATCCATCCGCAAACAAAAAACAAAAGTTTTTGTCTTTTGTAAAAAACAAAAGTTTAGACTGGCTGCCTGCACATTCACTGTTCTCGCGGCTGCTGCAACTTGAACGGACTGGCTGCAGGACGACTCAACTTCCACTGACAGTTTTTAATGTTTTATATCATGATTTTGTTTTGTTTATAATTTTCGGGACAATTAAGGCCGGTTTCGGGATTCGGGACAGTCCTGAAATCTAAGCTGTTGTCCCGAATCCCAAAATTTCGAGACTGTCCCGATTTTTTCGGGACTTCTGGTCATCATATATATATATATATATATATATATATATATGGCTGTCAAACGATTAATCGCATCCAAAATAAAAGTTTGTGTTTACATAATATATGTGGGTGCACTGTGTATAATTATTTTATATATATAAATACACACACATGCATGTATATTTAAGGAAAAAAAATATTTATATTTAAAATATTTATATTTACATATCATATAAATTATATATAAATCTATTTACAGTATATACATGAAAATATTTTTAAATACAGTATACTAAGTTTGAAGTTGGTAATATTTTTTATGCTTTTGGAAGAAGCGTCTTCTGCTCACCAGGGTTGCATTAATTTGATCAAAAAAACACTAAAACATCAAAATTATGAAACATTAATACAATTCAACTGTTTTCTATTCTATTTTCAGCATCATTACTCGAGTCTTCAGAAATCACTCTACACGATTTGATCCTCAAGAAACATTTCTGATGATGATTATCAATGATGAACAGAATAGAAAGTTCAAAAGAACAGCATTAATTTAAAATATTTTTTTTTAGGACTATAAATGTCTTTACTGTCACTTTTGGTCAATTTAATGCATCTTTGCTGATTAAAAGTAGTACTTTCTATTTTTAAACATCTTACCCTAAACTTTTCTCTCTTACAGTATATGTTTAGAAAATAGATTTTTTTAATAACTCTTAAAAGTTTTATAAAAGTACACCATATCAATTGTAAACGGCTTTGTATTTGAAGCAAAACTGTCAAATGAATTTGTTGCATGTTGCATTAAGGTTCATCACAAGAAAGAAGGTCCTGTTAATGATCATTTATAAAGACATGAGATATGAGACTACGTGTTTGAACCAATAAAACGACTCTCTGTGTGTCTTTTAAGCACGTCTCTCTCTGACCCAAACAGATGTTAAACCCCATACAGCCACTTTTTCCTCGCCCCCTCCCTCCGTCCCAGTTTATCAGCATGCAGTTGGGTTTCGCTTAAGAGGTTTAGCATTATGTTGCTAAACATTCTGACCTTTTTTTAATCCATAATGCTCTTAAAGTGTTCCAAAGCGCCCTAATCCCCTCCGCCCTCTCACTCCGCACTCATTTATCAGCCAATAGTCATCACTCTCCGGCTTCCTTTCAGCTCTAATTATTTATTTCTCATTCTGAGCTCAGCGTCAGAGAAATATCTCATAGCTCGAGGACATTCGTGTATGAGCGGTAGTGTTTTTTTTTTTGGTTTTTTTTTGACAGTGAGCTCGCTGGATTACAGATGCTCGGGAGTTGGACGAGACAAACATCTGTCTGCACTTACACATGAAGAGCTTAAGGGAGCAGCTCTGCGAACATAAACTCATTTGTGAGGTTATTTCATTAAAAGCAAGCTGTTTTTCAATGTGCATTTGTGTGTGTACATTTTTCTATGTATGCATGTGTAAGTCTGTGTATGAAGGAGCAGGTGTGTGAGATTGGTTTCGGCACAGCCTGTCACCCATCTGTGTGCCCGTCTGCAGCCAGACTCTGCCAACACACACACACACACAGAATAGAGAAAGAGACACACATAAGCAGAGAGACGAGACAAGAGAGCAGAAAAATAAAAATAGAGATGCATCATTCACACATAAATCCAAGCATCTCCATCAGTGTGTGGACATAAATAGCTTTAACACACACACACACACGCTGGCTATTGAAGACATGTGATTTGGGCTCTTTACAAGCTATTGATTGGATCAGATCTCAAAGGAACCCCAGGAGGACCCTTGTCCACAAAGACAGACAGGGAGGGATTGAAAAGGTAGAATATTAATCGCACTGTTTCTCAAATCACTACAGAAATAATCATCACCTAATGACAGATCATAATTTGTTTCAAAGAAACTTTTCTGTTCTGTGCCACTCTGCTCTATCTTTTCAATTATATTCTATTGTAAAGGCCAGCCAAGCCTGTCACATTTGAACTCAAATGTACAAAAAGAAATATTTTTTTATATTAAGTGGCTTTAAGAACTATGTACTTACATTTAAAAATAAGTATATTGTGCTCATGTTGTATTATGAATCACTTTTGCTGCTATTGAGGTGTGATACGGGTAAGGTTAGGGATATGGGTAGGTTTAAGGGTGGGTTTAAGTGTAAGGGATGGGTCAGCTGTGTAAATACAAATGTAATTGCATGCTGGTAGGTTTAAAATATAAGTACAATGTACAAACATGTATGTACACAATAAGTCCATTGTATCAAATTATTCATTTCAATGCAAGTACATGGTACTTAAAGCCACTTAATATAAAGTGGCACCGTTTTTTGCATAGTAAATCTAATTAAATGAATGAAATGTGACAGCAAAGATACAGTATGTTACAAAAGATTTCTATTTAAAAAAAAAAAAAGTAACAATTTCCACAAAAATATTAAGAGCACAGTGGTTTTCAAAATGAATAATCAAAAACGTTTCTAGAGAAGAAAAACTGCCTTTTATAAAAGTAATGATGCTGAAAATTCAGCTATATATTCAAACTAATTTTAATAATATTTCACGATAATGATTAACTGAACATTTTGATCATTTGAGACCAAAGCAAAAAAAGCAAAAAATCTTTTTAACAGTAGTGTACAAAATCATATATAAATTTAATTGAAAATGGACTATTGATGTACAATACTGAACAATTCAGTGGAGAAATATTCTTAATTTCCATCTAATTATGTATAAATATGCAATATGCTAAATATAAAGTGTTTTATTTTTGGTTTTCGCCACTGACTGGACGTGACCTGCTGGTGATTTCCCGAGGTTTAGGCATTTGAAGTCTACTCTACTTCTGTCCAGTAGGGGGCTCCTGAGGGCAGTCAGGAAGTCATGCATGTAAACAGCGAGTGAAAAGCCCCAGAGC